AAAAAGAACAGTGAAAAGCAATTGGACATATTAATGAAGTACAAAATGAAATAGACAGTCTTAATGAACAAGCCAGCGAGGAAATTCTGAAAGTAGAACAAAAATATAACAAACTCTGCCAACTGTTTTTTCAGAAGAGGTCAAAACTGATTGTCCAAAATCCCCAATTTTGGTAACAACATTTGTCAACCACCCACAAGTGTCCACACTGCTCAGGGAGGAGGATGAGGAGGCCCTGCATTATTTGACCAGAGTGAAGTGATGGAATTTGAAGCCATTAGATCTGGTTACAGAACAGAGTTTTATTTTGATGAAAATCCTTACTTTGAAAAAAGTTCTCTCCAAAGAATTTCATCTGCATGAGAGTGGTGACCCATCTTCAAAGTCCACCGAAATGAAATGGAAATCTGGAAAGGATTTGACAAAGCGCTCAGTCAAACGCAAAATAAGGCTAGGAGCAAGCGGCAGTGCAAAGAGCCAGAGAGCTTCTTCACCTGGTTCACTGACCGTTCTGATGCAGAAAAATCAGGAGAGGGCATCAAAGATGATATTTGGCCAAATCCCTTGCAGTACTATTTGGTTACTGATATAGATGATGATGAAGGGGAGGCGGAAGATGAGGAGGAGGAGGAGGAGGAGGAGGAGGAGGAGGAGGAGGAGGAGGAGGAGAAAGGGTTGGAAGATATTGATGAAGGGGATGAGGATGAAGGTGAAGAAGGATGAGGATAAAGATGATGATGAAGGGGAGGAGAGGAGGATGAAGGTGAGGATGACTAGCACAGAAGATGGATGGATTCCAACTTTCTTTTTTATTTTAAAATTTTTCTCCAGTCTCTGGGAGCAAGTTGCAGTCATTTTCCTCCCCCCTTACCCTTGTGCTCAGTCGCCCTGTTTTGAGGTCTCTCTTAACACCATGGTTTTCAACTTATTTGGGGGGAAATAACCATGAGCAAAATACATCAGGAAAAGAATCTCAAAAAATAAAAAAAAGTGTGTGAAAGAAAGGGCACCAGGTTATTTACTTTGTGTCTATGATTAATATAAAAAAAGAAACATTATTTAAAAAAAAGAAAGGAGAAAAAGAAAGGAAGAAAGAAAGAAAGGGCACCAGAACTCCCGTTGTGAGCTCTTTTTATCTTCAGTGTAAATGAGCAGGCAATTAAAAAGACAACCTCTCAGTAGAAGCATTCCTCAGGGTCATCTACACCCCTGCCCCGACATTCGACACACAGGAATCCAGTGGCTTTTTCCTAGGGCATGTGCAGTGAACTTCCATCTACACTCTGCTCAGAGCTGAGCCATGCTTCTGGTCAGAGTTGTCAGCTTCTCTGTCCTTTGAAAGAGGTTCTTTCATCCTCTCAGTGACCGTTCAGACAGTGATTGAGCCTTACTCAGCTTTAAGCCCTACTTCTATATTTCTTATTTTAAAAAAATACTCTATTTGTATAATCAATTATAGTAAGGTTTTTCTGGTCTTAGATCTAAAAAATCATTTCTAAGAGTTACTGTTCAAATGTACCAAAAAATTGCTCCTATCATAATAATCATCATTCCTTTGTAGAATATATCTTAATGTCTATTAATAGAATTGAGAATGCAAGAGCTATTAATAGCAGGAATAGAACAGTAATAATAATCATACTTTGTTCTCTGTGCTCCTGACCCACTGTAAGAAACATCAGACCTTTTAATTTGTATTTTTAAAATTCTGTACTTGCTACAGAGGAGGTGCTGTGTGACACTGTTCCTGGGGAGATATGCAAATGTTGTAGTGTTTGAATAGGAACAGACCTAAAGACTCCAGGGTTTGAGTGTTTGGCTCATAGGGAGTGGTACTATTAGAAGGTGTGGCCTTTTTGGAGGAAGTGTGTCACTATGGAGGAGGACTTTGTGGTCTCGTATGCTCAATCTATAATCCAGTGTGGCTGTCTCATTCTGCTGCTGGTGGATCAAGATGTAGAAATCTCAGCTCCTTCTCTAGCCATGGTGTCTCTTTACAGCAATAGAAACATTAATTAAGACAATGTCTACTCACTCCAGATGGAGAACTAATGACATACTTAAGTAAGGACACCACAAAATCCAACTTTGTGGACCAATGAGTTTTACTGGGGTTATGCACAGACATAGAATGACTCAAAGACAGCTGAGTCACCAGAATCCCACATCAGCACGGATGACAGCTGGTGAAAACTAGAGAGCTGGAGTGTACCTCACAACCTGCAGGTATCCCCAAAGGCTGGAGGGTGTCTTTTCCAGGCAGCTTAGTTGGTCCAAACCTCTTCTAGGCATTTCAGTTTATTTGAGAGTTTCCTAGGCAGGTGGGCTTACCTAAGAGTTTCTCTCAGTAATCTTTACTGCTTATGTATACTTGGAGAGAGGGAGCTAATACAGCTAGTCTGTTTTAGGGATTTCCTGAGCCTTTTGAGTTGTTTGTTTACTGAGCTTAAAGAGGCTCCCTGCATGACAGAATGTTCTGCCTTCCTTTAGAACATCCCATGTGTTGACAGAGCTTCCTTCTAAGATGGAAGGTTGTATCTCAGAGGAAACTGCCACACAATGAGTTCAAGGCCAGCCTGGGTAACTCAGTGAGATTCTGCCTTGAATAAAAAGCAAAAGGAAGGCTAGGAATGTAGTTCAGTGACAGAATGCTTGTCTAGTATGCATGAAGCCCTAGGTTCAATCTCCCATATGATAAACAAAAATGCCTACATACTTGGATTATTCCTAGAGATGCAGAGATATATATGAGTCCTATGGCTTTTGAAATATGAACTAGTGAATTCTAGTTCTCTAAAGATTGAATAAATATTTCATTTTTAAAGTATTAACTAGTGAGGACTAGAGAGATAGCTCAGCAGATAAAGACACTTAATGCAAAACCTAGTGATTTGAATTCAATTCCTTATTGTAGAAGGGAAGAACTGACTCTTGTGGGCTGTCCTGACTACTACATGCATGTTATAAATGCAAATATGAATGAGATATCTTATTGTTTTGCTATAACTATTATAGAATGAAAATAGTATCAGCTAAATATACTTGATTCGAGCAACACTGATAAGATTAGAAATTTGCTAAACAGCAAATTAAAAAGAGTACAGAATTTTCTAAAGCTTGTATATCTGTTTCATAATTTGTTAGTTACAAAGCAATGACTACTTTACCACCTCAGGGATTATGGCCTTCATTGTGATTCTTGCCTACAGAAACAAGATACGGGGATTTTGAGCACTAAGTCACCACCCTTCAGAATGTATGTGTATGCAATAGGAGAAGAAACTCCAGCTCTTCATGCTTTCAGTACTATTACAGATCAGGCCTTCATCCTCAGTCACCATCTTAGGACTATCATGGAACTACCGATGGGAGACACACATTTTAAACCAGGGCTGGTATTCACTGGTGACTGTGTGTGTGTGTGTGTGTGAGAGAGAGAGAGAGAGAGAGAGAGAGAGAGAGAGAGAATGACAATGGTAGGAAGAGCACCAAAACTAGCCGAGAGAGAGAGAATGACAACGGTCGGAAGAGCACCGAAACTAGCCTGTTTGTCTAGTAACAAACCACTTTTCTCTGGAAGGCATTTGACCAATGTCTTGGAGAATCTGCATGTCAGAGCACATCAGGCAAATGGGTGCCTGTCTTCTTGACATTAGCAGATACTCCATTTAATAAGTACTCTATTGACCTCGAGCAAACTAAATTCCATCGTGATAGTCCTGTGCAACCTTTCAGCCTGGAATAACCCTGACACAGGGCAAACTTTCAAGGACAGCAGAACTTCTGAGATGAAGAATTCATGACACCTGCAATTTTGCTGCTTCCACCGTTCAACTTGCCACACCTTGAGTTTCTGGCAGGCAGGGTTATGCCAGGCCACACTTTTTATAGCTCCTCTTTACTGTGGTGGTGACTACAGCTGCTCTACCTATCATTTGTCTTCCCACTGCGGTGTTCTCTCATGGGCCACACCCTTTAATGTTCAGAGTGGTGGAGCTGCCTGGCTATGAAGGGAGCGAGCGATTCACTTTTCTCTGCCTTCTCTTTAAGTTTTCCTATACATTTCCATCATCTTTCATTTTCTTAATCTCTCTTCGTTGCCTTTTATACCCTTGTACCTTTTTTTAATTACTATTTCTATCCCTTAAGATTATATGGATTCCATTAAAGCAAACAATTTCTGATGATTACAGTTTCTGAGACAAAATATCCTTCAAAATCCTACCTGAGGGTGGGAACATATGTGGGAAGGTATGTGTGGCGGTCCCTTGCTGCTTTCAAGGATGCGAAGATGAACTCCTGAGGCGCTCTTCTGAGAACACTGCTCATCTATGGTGATGGTACCGCATTAATGATTAGTAAATTCCCGGTAGGTCAGTAACTGGGCCAGCAGCCATGGAGGATGGCACAGAATTTTACAGAAGACCTACATACACCAATAAATACGAATCAGAAAAATACAGCGCTCCCAATGCACCGGAGCTTGCGTTTCTTAGGTTCCTACTCCTCGTTCTCCTGCGTTGTCCGTCCCTTCCCTGCTCCAAAGGCGGTCCACGAGGACCCACATCACAATCTCCTCGTGTCTGCTGGACTAGGAGATTGGTACCCGCCAACCCCGCGCCGCGCCTGCGCAAAGCGTTCTCTCGCGTGAACGCCCTGCGGCGGCCGCAGACTCCCCGCAGACCCGGCCGATGAACGGGCTGAGCCAGCCTCCGCGTCCTCATGGAGCCCGGCACCAGCCTGCTTCCCAGAAGCACATCCCTCCTCCCGCCGTCGGGGCAGCACATGAACCGCTGCGCTCGGCCTCAGAACAGTTAACACCCAGGAACCCGGCGCAGGAAGATGCAGCCGGCAGGATCCGCGCCGGGGGCGGGACCAGGCTGGAGCCTCGCCCCGCGCCAGTTCCGGGCCTCCCATTGGCCGGCGTGCCTGTCCATCAGCCGGGCCCTGGCCGTCTTCTCCTTCTCCGCTACCTCTGCGGGTGTGGGGCGGGCCCCCGGCAGAGCAAGCCGGAGCTGGCGCCCGCTGCCAGGAGCTCGCGGGAGGCCGGGCAGGGCGGCGCCGAGGCCGAGCATCTCGGGCTCTAGCGCCGCGGCCTCTCTGCTTGCTGCACCACCTGGCCCGGGCCAGGCGTCCGGTAAGGCGCGGAGCGGGCGGCCTGGAGCCGGGGGTGGGCGCGGGCCTTTCCTCCCCGGGAGCGGCCCGGCCTGGCGGGCGTGTAGCTGGACGGAGGGAGGGACGCCACACTCCCTTGAGCTACGGGCTGGCTGGTGTCTGGGCAGCTCGCCTTCTTCTAGGAGTCCAGCCAGGTGGCTTCCAGATCTCCAGCATCCCAGTTTCCTTTCCCCTGCGCTGGGGAAAGACGAATTTTGTGTTTCAAAACCCCTTTGGCAAGATTTTTTTTTTTTTTTTTTCTCCACCGAGCTCAGGAAGACACAGGAGTTGGTGTGTGTGTTTGTGTGTGTGTGTATGTGTGTGCACAGGACTTGGTGTGTCTGTGTGTGCTCCTTATTTTAAAAAAAAGAGTTGTTGCAGGTTACAAAGTTCCAAGATTGGCGTGGTGCTGTCCATTCATATGAAATGGCATCTGTGCACCGGGACTGGCAGGTGACTCTGATGCTCCTAACTAATCCAGAGTATGGTATCGCGTTTGTGGCTTTAGGTTTGATTTAATTTTTTTTTTTTTTTGTACTGATAATCATTCTAGAAAATGTGTGTTGTTTGTTGTGAGAAGCATGACCAAAATAATTGACCTCAGCGGACGTGCACCCCTAGTAACGTGGGGTCCCCGGGGTTATCCTCTTAAATGCTTGTGGCAATCACTTCTGAGCAGAGTAGTTAGGAACGTTGTTACTTCTGTTGGTGTGGGGATTGGTAAGAGTAGCAGCACTGTGGTTAGAAATGGGCTGGGCGCTGTTCTCCGAGCAGGTTTCCTCCAGAATAACCCTTGACTGTTATCTCCCAGTAAATAATACTTTGAAAGGTTAAGTAACTATTTCAAGACGGGATTCAAACTCATATTCCTAGCTGTACTCCCTCTTAACCATGCGTACTCCATAAGCACTGTTTATGTTGTTAAGCGATTGCAAAATAATGCAGAGTTTTATTTTTAGTTTCCAAATATTCTGGAGGTTAGAGGAGAAACAGTTGGTTGTATCCAACGAATAAACGAAAAAGTAAATGTATCTTGTGTGTGAGACACAAGAAAACAGTTTAACTCTTTTAATACTGTACTTGGAGCATTGATTTGTAAGCTGAACCTGGCTCCTTTGTGTAGTTATGAAAGCTTGAAAGTTAGACACAGAGGCTAGAAATGATGATATAATGCTTTATCATCATCAGACGTGTTAAACCTTGCTTTTATTAGAAGGTTTTCATTCATTCTCCTCAAGCTGCTAATGAAGCAGCAGCTGAATTACTTCCTTAGAAGAAGTTTCAGATACTTGGTGAAAAATACGTTTCAAACTCATTAAGGACTCACCATTTCGGGGTTGCTGTGTTTTTGTTTATTTGGTTGGTTGGTTTTTAGGGTCCAACATAGCCCACGCTGGCCTTGAATTCTGAATTCTCGTGCCTCAATTCCCAAATGGTGGGATTGCTCACCCGAGCCGCTATACCTGGCTTATTTTAGAGGCTTTGTTGTTGTTTAAGTTAAAAGCGTCTGTGATTCTGTTTATGCCTAATTTGTATTTAATTCCATTTAAAATTTTTTATCTATACTAAATTTACATTATGTCAAATTAAAATTATGACTCATTGAACTTGAAGCAAACTAGTTATATTTGACACACACATACAAACCCACTAAAGTCTGTTAATCTTAGAGACAAAATCTGAGTTCAAAGTTACATCTGGTTTAATAACAATTTAATTATTTTATTGAAATTTAGCTTCTTTGAAGGTAATATGCTTATGGCTGAAATAGGCTTCTGTGGCTGAAATTGATCAATGTTTACAAACTTCGAACTGAAGAATATGTTATTTCTGTAGACACTGCTTAGTATTTTCTGTTGTCTGGAACTCTACGCTGTTCATAGTCTCCTTCTCAACCTAGATAGAGAATGAAGTATTTTAAATGTTAATCATGATTATCCTCGTAGCCTCTTAATTTAATCATTAAAAAAAATGTTTATTCAGAAACTCCCTGGCATTTAGAATGTGACTTATGACCACCTTAGCCAGGAGCAGTAAAAGTTAATAAGGAACATTTACACAGCACTGCAACAAGCATTTGAGTCTAATTTAAATTTAAACTGCCTTACATCTTCAGGGAGTGAAGAAGGAGAACTGAAACTCAGTTAGGGTGTGACTTCACTCAGAATTAGTTGATACAGCAAGTACCAAAACAAGGGTTTAAGTCCGGGCAGTTTGACTGTAGAGCTAACCCTTAGACCTTTCTTTTTATTGAGAAAACTTCAAGTCAGGCAGTGAGGCTTGTAATAGGATTACAATCCCATGTGTGTTTATACTCTGTAATTCTGCAAAAGTGTGTCCTCTGGGTTTTCTTTTCCTTTTGTGTGTGTCGGGCCTGTATGCACTTAGTGTGGAAGCCACAGGGGTCTTTCTCAGTTACTTCTCCATCTTGTTTTCTGAGACAAGGTCTCTCACTGATCCTAGAGTTGTCTAGGCTGAGTAGCAAGCCACTCCTTGGACAAGATCTGCAATCTCAATCCCCTACCCCTGGCACTGGGGTTACAGTCACCTATGTAACTGGCTTTCTGTATGTGGGTGTTAGGGATTTGAACTCTGGTCCTCATGATTGTGAGGTCAACACTTTACTGATTGAACCATCTCTCTAGCCCTCACTCTATTGCGAAAAATGAGTGTTCTAATGGAGTGCTTGGTTTCCAGATTAAACTTTGTGAACAGTTTTTTGTTGTTGTTTTGTTTTTAAGTATACATGTAAAGGGTATTTGGGACCAGACATGAGATTGCCAACTTCTCTCTAAGTTAAGAACCTCTTAAAAACCTCTGTAAATTCTACAGTTTGGGAGGCAGGAGGGCTGCTGTGATTTGGGGGCCTACCTGTTCTCATTAGTGACTTAAATCAACCTTTGGAACAAAAAACCAAAACAGTGTCTTTAAGTCAATAACAAAACTCCCCTCAAAAGTCCATTGTCCCCATCCTGTCCTAAAAGATAGAATTTAACTGCCGAAAAAGGAAGGTCATAATTAACAACATTTTTTAAAAGGATATTTAATATTATGAATAATACTGTTACATTGTCCTAGTTTCTCCTTAGGTGGTCACAGGCCACCTAAGTGAAAATCCTGACTAACCCCACTGCCAATTCAGAGACCATTTCGGATCTTCCAGGTGACAGCTCATTCTAAACTGGTAATTTTCTGAGTCCAGATTCAAGTTCAGGTCCCTAACTGCCACATACCACGTCATGATCTCTGTCTCGTGAATAGTGTTGAAGGCTCTGGGTCTCTAGGTTGATAGCCTTTCCAAGTGGTGACCATCTCACCTGACTTGTGATAGGCCAGTGGCTTTCCAGCTCACTTGAGTCTGGGTTTGGAGATCCATTTAGAGTGTGAACTAGTTTAAGAGCTGGTTTTAGGCAGTAAACCGTGGCTCTCACTGAAGCAGACTTGCAGTGGCCACCAGAAGCTGTCTCCCAGAGAGCATAAAACACATAGAGACACAGTGTCAACGATCCCTACTATTTTCAAAAGAAAATGACCTCAGAAAAAAATGACATCAGGAAAGAAACCAAAATTTATGTCATGGTTCTAGGGACATTCAAATGATTTGGAGGGGTCTTGAAAAGATCCTTTGAAATTTGTAATGAAACCAGAATTTTAAGTCATAAAATATGAACAGGTGACTATAAGAAAGGTCCAAGTAGATATATAGACAAACAAAGTAGACAAAGTGCCTATCAGAAACAGGTAGTTAAGGCTGGGAATGTTGTAGTGGAAGTTTTGGTCTCCTTAAAAACTCAGTTATGTCAAATGTGGTGGCAATACCACATGTTTAATCCAAGCACTCTGGGAGGCAGAGCCAGGAGGAGCTCTGTGAGCTCAAGGCCAGCCTGGTCTACAAAGCGAGTCCAGGACAGCCACGGCTACACAGAGAAGCCCTGTCTCGAAAAACCAAAAACTAAACCAAACCAAAACTCAGTTATATTATGTAAGCAGGTTTTTGTTTTAATCCCAAGTGTGGGATATGGGTCTGCCTTAATTTGTCCACAGCTGATAATTGTCTCCTGTGGCATGGAGAGAGAGTTGGTCTTTGCCAGCTGGAGTAGTTTAATTCTGAGGACTCTGGTGACTTGGGGATGGATGGAGAGAACACTTGGAAGGTTGCTTGCTGCAGTCTTGCTGGTTATCTGGACTGCTGGATATCCTGACGATGAGATTGGTGTTACCCCTGAAAGAACCTGACGACGTACCCAGCCAGAAGAAGAGGTCTATGTCCTCTTTTCCTTCTAACCTTTCTCTTCTACCTAAGGTTGGGGAAGGAGGGAGATAGAGGCTTTAGGAACCCCAAATAAGAAAGGGTTTAAAAATAGCACCTATGGGATGTAGTTGAGTTGGTGAGTGCCTAGTGTACAAGATGCCCTGGGTTTGCTGTCTAGCAAGCAGGAGAACTAGCTAGGTGGTGGTGGTGCATGCCTGCGAGGTGGAGTCAGGAAGATGGGAAGCTTGGGGCCTGAGAGACAAGACTTGTCTCAAAGACAGGTAAGAAACAGAGCACGAAGGAGCTGTGAGAATTTAGGATAGAGAAATTGTTTTAACTAGTAATTTTATTTAGAAGATTGGGATTAGGAGAGAAAGGAAATAACTACATAAAATTTGAAGAAACAAACAAACCTAAGCGACGTTTGGAGAGCTGTAATTTGGAACAGTGAGGGAAAAACCCGATCAGGAGCCCAGACAGTAACCATTAAGCAGGGTGAAATATTGCATCGCAGTTCCTATCATTGAGCTTTCATGGTTTTCAATAAATTAAGTTCAAGGTAGGTGGAACTGTCGGTGAGATTCAAGGGAAATCTGTTTAAGTATGCAAATCCACTAATGAGAGCACAGTTACCTTTAAGGCTGTGGACTTGGTTTAAGTGTCTGTAATCCGCTGTGGGCAGGAAGCTCAAGCTTCATCCCTGTAATCCCACCACTCAGCAGAAGGCAGGAGATTTACTTGATTTTGTTCCGGCTACAGAGTGCAACCCTGGCCCCCAAAGAGGGGGAAAAGACCACAGACAAAACAACCCCTTATCCACAAGTCATGATAGTGGGGGAGTGGAGATGAGGGCTTGTTGGGAGAAAGGGTGTGTGCGCGCGTGTGCTACCAGAATGTGTTATATACTTTCGTAGAATAACAAAGAATAGCTCTCTTAAAGATCAGAAGAAAGGGAAAAACCATCAGGGTCATATTTACATATTCTGTGACTATGAAATGCATTTAGTCTTCAACTACAACTTTTGGAGTTTCTTGAGTGATAGGAATGTCATCTGTCCTTCTTGGTAAGACTTTTTGATCACACCATATTATGCTAATGAGGTAACTGGGTGGAGATCCGGGAGAGCTCCAGGATGGGACTGGGCACTTCGGGAACTTGAGGACTGGAACATTCTGCCTCACCCATGATCTCTGTGAAGGGTGGGGCTGGACATTAAGCTTATAAAACCTGAATAAGAAGAGTTCATGCCTCTCTGTGCTGCCAAGCACGTGCAAGAGCAGGAAGGAGTACCCTGCTCCTTTGTACTTTGCCCAGCACCTCTGTTCATCTTGCTATTTATTCGTCTGCATCCTTTCTGTATCTTCTCTGACTAAACAGTAAATTTAGTAAGTCTTCCTCTGAGTACTGTGAGCCATTCTAGCAAACTATCCAGCCCACAGGAAGCTGCTTGATGAGAAGTACAGGTGACAATCTACTACTTAGAATTGGCAGCTGGAGTGAAGCCAGTCTCGTGATCGTGGGCCCTTAACCTGTCGGCTGACCCTGTGTCTGTGTAGTATCACAGTTGCATGGGATTGTAGAGCATCCTTGTTACCTGCTGTAGAATTATTTGTATTGGAGTGAGCCCCAATATACATCTGGCCAGTCACGTTCTGTACTCAATGGAGAGAAGGAGAGAGATGCTATAGCTTCTCAGAATTGGTGACTGAAATGTGGGGCAGAGAAAAAGTTTTCCCTTTTTGCCTTAGCTGTTCTATTGGTAGGAGAGCCACTGAATAGGACAGGAAGTAAGTTATAGTATACTTGTTTCCAGAGGAGTGGAGAACTGTATGGCAGGGAAAACAAACAACAGCAACAACAGAAATCACTATTTTCTTAACGTTATGTCTTCAATTTTCAATGTGTAAATGAAAAGTAAATTTAAATTTAAAGCAGTGAGGCAGTTGGTTTTCAGATCTTCAAGTTTTGTGATCTTCAGACAGTAAAATTTAGGTATCTTGATGGGTATAGATAAAAATTGAAATTTTCGGAATGATAAAAAGATTATGTGAAGTAAAAATTGAAAGTAAAAAATCACTTCTGTCTGCAGATCTTAATATGTGCCTTTATTTATGTTTGTACATGCTCTTTTAGCATGTTGTTCCTGTTATATGTGTACAATCATGACTAAACGGAACTCTGCTTCTCTCTAAAGCTTTCTGCCATCTTTTCTCACTTAAAAGAAATCACAGCTGCATTTTAATTGCTGCCTAGAATTGGGTCATAGGGGGTCTTCGAGGGAGCAGGCCGCTTGTGAAGGTTTTGATTGTGAGCTTTTCCTTGATCATCTTTCTTTCTGTTCTCACCAGTTTCTCTTTGTCAGTTTTTCCTTTGTATTTTATTTAATTTTTTATTTTTTTATTCACTTTACATCCTTGTTGTAGCCCCATCCCCCTTCCCCTCCCAGTTCTAACCTCTCTCCCTCTACCCTCCCTTTCCCATCCAGCCCAACTCATCACACTTCACAGCTTTTCTTAAGGCTCACACTTAATGCTTAAATTTCTTCCCTAGTTCATGTCTGTCTTGACTTTTTCTGGTTTTTTGTTGGTGGTGGTTTTTTTGTTTTGTTTTGTTTTTTTCTAGACAGGGTTTCTCTATTGTAGCCTTGGCTGTCCTAGATTACCTGTAGGCCGGTCTTGAACTCACAGAGATTCACCTGTCTCTGCCTCCCAGAGTGCTGGGATTACAGGTGTGCACCACTTGGCCTTTTATGTATAATGATTTTTTACTTTCTTCTGGAGTAGAAAACCTTTCTCGTTCACACATTCTTTCCACTACATTCCCTTTCGTATTTTAAACTCACTTGTATCCCTGAGTGAAACAATGTTACAAGTCTTCAGCTTGCGTTAGGTCTGACATCAGCCCTACCCTCTTGAGTGTGTTGGTGGTCCTCCAAACTTTATGCAAATACCGTTGAAACAGTGTATCCTACCTTTTTTTCTGATTTTTGGAAGATGGCAGAAAACAGCTTCAACAAAGTTACTTGAAAACCCTCAGTATTTCAGTGTCCCTGACTAAGTAAAACTAACCTTATTTGAATTTGCTGATCTCTGGATTTAAATATATATGTGTGTGTGTGTGTGTGTGTGTGTGTGTGTGTAATATTTATTTTATGTACATTGGTATTTTACCTACATGTATGTCTGTGTCAGATATTGGAGTTATAGATAGTTGTGAGCTTCTTCCGAAGCAACATTTAGTGCTTTTACATCTCTCCAGCACACAGGTGGGGAGATTTTTCTATCCTTCAGATGACAGGGTTTTGTAGCCTCTGCAGTAGGGACCAGCAGCATTTTTTAGGTAAAGAAGCAGTGAGTAAATACTTCAGGCTTTCTGAGCCACGTGTGTCTTTGTATTCCATAACATCAGCAGATAGATAGCCAAAAGCTATGCATTTCAGCCTTCTATGTAATGTTATATTCCAGAGTTATATGCAAAGCCATTTCAGTCTTTCTTCCTTAAGGTCTTACAATAAATTTAATGATTATTTCAGTATTTGCTGGCACACTTGACACTACTGTATAGATTTCTTTTTTGGAATAATTTCAGAAGATGTATTTTATACAAGTATCATACCTTTTCCCCTTGTAACTTTGTAACATGAATTCAAAGGGGAATATGTTATCTGTGGTTACTGTATATTTGCTTTTTTGTTACTGGGTCAAAACCTGCTCCTTCCTTTCACTACCCAAAAAAAGTTATAAGGAAGGGGGCTTATCTTGCATAAAGGCTGTTGTGGCAGGGAAAGCATGGCAGAGTTCATGACAGCACTTAGGGCTTGTTGCTAGGACCAAAGTTGCAGAGGAAGGCCAATTTCATCCTTTTCCCCCCTTTTCATTCAGTCCAGGACCCATGCCGTGGCATTACCCATATTCAGGATAGGTCTTTCCCACCAAACCTTTCTGGAAATGGGCTTTGTCTCGGTCAAATTGACAGTGAACTGTAGCTCACTTACCTAAGTCAGGAGATATAAATGTCTACCATCAGTAGTTTCAGTAATGCTTTTTTTTTAACTTTTTATTGATTCTTTGTGAGTTTCACATCAGCTACCCAAATCGTACTCATCTCCCTGTTCCTTTGTGCCCACACCCTTTGCTCTTGAAATCTACCCATTTCCATAAAAAAAAAGAGAAAAAAAAATTTGTGGAAGCTCCAGTGTGTCTTGTAGTATATACCCTTTTGTCCACACACCTTTACTTTCAAATGTTCATTATAATGAGTCATTGGTCTGGTTCGAGGCCTCTGGCTTCTGCTACACTCTCAATACGGGATCATCACTGGGACTCCTCTCAGATATCCTGCTGTTGCCCTGTGTCATGGAGATCCTGCAGCTTTGGATCTGTAGGACCAGCCTTGTCAGGCACTCCAGCAGTTAACAGATGAGGTACATACAGGGGCAGGCCAACTCAAAGCCCTGGATCTGAGTCTGGGTGGCAGCTGACTTGGTCAGCCCGCCAGCTCTTACACACCCATACCACCAGGGCCAGCTCTGTTGTGCTGCCCACAGGAGGTGCTGGGCCTGCTCTCCCAAATGCTGCAGTCAGTGAGGGGCGGGGCCAGCTCTGCACTGCCCTTGTATATGAACACAGTCCCAGGCAGAAGGGACGTCCACGTGGTCTTTTATGGTAATATGGGCCATGAACCTGGACACAGACCCCTGCTGCTCCATGACAAGGCCCCAGTGGCAACATGGGCTGGGACTTTGCCATGCCCTTCAGTGGCAGGGCAGGCTCCTCACAGCAGGCTGTGCCTCTCCACCCTTCAGTCTCCAGTTCCACCTCTCCTCACAGTGCTCAAGCCATTCCTCTCCTCTCTCTCCCATCCCTCTACCACGTGTTTATACATGGTTGTGGCTCCCACTGCGGCCAGGCCTCGTGGCTAACGGGCCTCTCTCAGTGACTCCTTTAACTAAAGCATTTTTCGGTGCACAGTGAGGATCCACATCTGTTTTTGAGAATGGGTAAAGTGCTTGGTGCTCTGTTTATTTTCCAGGTGAGAGAGAAGATGTTTTCCCGGTTAAGAGCCGTTGTCGCTCCTTGCGCTTTGACGTGTCGTCATCTGCACCTGAAGGAGAAAGGCAAGCCACTCATGTTGAACCCAAGAACAAACAAGGTTAGTAACATCAATGCCAACATAGTTCATCTTCCCGGTAGAGGTGCGCTTTTTCAGACTGAGTCGGCCTGACGATTTTATAGCCGAGAGCTGTGTGGATGTGTAGCTGAGGCCTTTGGGGGAGAGTTGCCTTTTCTACACCATATCTTTTCATTTGGCTCTTCATGCCTTCTTCACAACTTCTGCTACCAGAAGAGGCTTGACTGCTTCCTAGTTCTGGGCAAATGCAATAAAAACAATGATAGTATCAGAACACCTCAGAATGGTGCTGCTGCCAGGACTTTTGGCAAAGGGGATAGGTAAATTTACCTAGCTTGAAGCAGGGACTCACCCTGGGGTAATTAGGATGGTTGGATAAAAATATGAAGTAAAACCTTTTGAACCTCCAACTTCACACTATCTTTTTGGACACAAATCATTGTAGATATTTTTGGCCATTAATTCAGCAAATACTACAAAGAAGAAAGTCCTTTAACTTTTATATTTTCACAAGTAGGACAGAAGTTATGGCAATACAAGATCCAGGCGGGCACACCTTCTGTTTCTTTTTTTTAAAGCTGGGCTCACTAGACATTCTGCTTTGTATTTAGTGGTCATGTTAAATACTAAACACAATCTATAGGGCTAGACTTGGGCTTTGACTCTAGTTCAGAGCTTCATTTACTGTATGACACTGGTGTCTGAATAGCTCTCTTGGCGACTCACCTTGATGTCATCTAAAAAAAAAATGGCAGAACAGTAGCTCCTGTTTGTTGATGTTTTGTATAGAGGGCATAAAACAGGGTTTTTGACATGCTTTGCATAGTGTCTGGCAATAGTGGTTAGGGAATGCTTCTGTGGTAAAGTGAATGCTTACCGTGTCCTAGATTCATGTCTCAGCGCCGCAAAAAACAGCATTAATAAAATTAATTCTGGGTAACTATATACATGAAATATTTTAAAAAAGAATGTAATTCTGAAAAGAGGTTTCTTACAGAAAGCTTGTGAGAGGATAGAGTTTATCACAGTATGTGAAATATTCCTGTTGGGGATGATGCATTGAGATTAAAGCTGTAACCTGTTTTAAAAGACTTGGCCACAAAAATTTTTGCCGATCTGATTTTTATTTATTTATTTATTTATTTATTTTTGTTGTTGTTATAAGAAACAATATGAGCTGTTTAGTATGACACATTTACAAGAGTTTCAGGCCTGCAAAGGAATGTCAGGTGCTGGGTACTCCTCATATTGGCATGCAAGGTGACTTTTTTATTTTTCTTTGCCTCAAATCTTGCTTGCTCTTTAACCTGTAACTCAATCCTAATCCAGGACCAAAGATGTAGTGTAATGAATGAGTGCCATCATAGCATGTTTGCTGAATCCAACCCCTAGAAACATTACAAAGCAAAACTAAACTGAACACCAGTGACTTTTTCACACCACCATAGATGGGAGTACTTGCTCCTTCTCTGAAACCCTGTTCCTATAGCATCACCAGCTTCTGTTGCGTTCTGCCGCTTTTCATATCATAAGATCATGTTTCCAGGAGTGTACATCTTTTTGAGTGCATTTCCTATTTCTTTGGGGATATACTATTCATCTACTTTTTATCTTTTTAATGTCTTGTGGTAGCCATTTTGTAAATAGGTGGGATTTATTTATTTGTGTGTGTGTGTGTGTGTCTGGGTGTGTAGCTAAAGAAGCCTCCGGTTAGTGTGGTGTCAGCTAATGATGAGACAAAGACTTCAGTGTCTGGAGCGGGGCCACTTGGCGTCCCGTGGCTCACTAAGGGCTCTGTTGCACGGTGTGTGCACGCCTGCGTCGCTCAGGCACAGGTTATAGCCCCTCTGCTCGTAGCCTGCGGGTTTGCTTCCTGCAGATGTTGCAGGAAGAGCTTCCTTGGTGTTTTAAATCTTTCCTGTTGTATTCCCCCAAATACCTCATAGTTTTTCTGTGACTTTCCCCTAACCCCTATGGACATTTTGCTCCCTTAGTATTTTCCTGTGCAGTTTTTCATTTATGTAGGTGTGGGTTTTGTTTTTTTTTTTTTAAATCTGTTTTGTTGGGTTTTTACATCTACCACTGTTCCAACCTGTATTTGACCTTTTTTTTTTCCTTTGTACTCTGTTTTATTAACTGAAAAATAGTCTTTTTTTTTTTTTAATTTTTCTTTTTAGTTACATTTTGTTAACTCTGTGTCCCAGCTGTATCCCACTCCCTCATTCCCTCCCCAACCCCACACTCCCTCCCTGGTCTCCTCCCTGCCCCTTTCCAAGTCCCCTGATAGGGGAGGACCTCCTCCCCTTTCATCTGACCCTGTTTTATCAGGTATCTTCAGGGCTGGCTGCAAAGTCCTCCTCTGTAGCCTAACAGACTGCTCCTCCCCTGGGGGGGGGGGTGTCAAACAGCCTGCCCTTGAGATCCTGTTAGAAATAGTCCGTGTTCCCCTTACTTTGGAAAACTACTTGGTTACTGAGCTACCACAGGCCACATCCGAGCAGAAGTTCTAGGTTATATCCATAGATGGTCCTTGGTTGAGTGTCAGTCTCAGAAAAGACCCTGTGCCCAGATATATTTGGTCCTTGTAGAGCTCCTTTCCTTTCCATATCATACTAACTTCCCTTCTTTCATATGATTCCCTGCACTCTGCCAAGGGTTTGGTTATGAGTCTTAGTGTCTGCTTTGAAACACTGCTAGGTAGAGTCTTTCAGATGCCTTTTGTGGTAGATTCCTGTCATAAGTTCAATGCACATCCCATTTGTCTTTCTAAATGAGGATTAATCACCTTCGCCTGTGTCCACTTTCTTGATTACCTTCTTTAGGTGTGTAGATTTCATCTGTATTTGACCTTAATCCCTTCTGACACTCCCTACCCCGCTACCTCTAGGTAGGAGAGAAAGAAGGTCAGAGGAGAAAGGAGAGGGCAGTAGACCTCTGTAGGCTACTTCCTGCTGATACCTAGAGTTCCTTGAGGCAAGTCCAGTCTTCCTTGTCAAGACATCGCCAACTTTTTCTTCTGATTGCTTTGCTTTGCTCACGACCATTTGACAAACCGTAACAACAGCAACTCTGCCTTTTTGCCTTCTTCTCTTCTTCCTCCTCCTTCCTCCCCCCTCCTCCTCAGCACCCCCACCTGCTCTCTTGGGGCATTTATCTCCTCAAAAGTTCCCAGAATTCTAAATGTCAACTATTATCAGCTGGCAAAGACCATGCCTCTGCTAGTACATGAGGCAAAGCATAATCACCTGCTGTGGAGCAGCCTCTTATCTCACACCTGTGGGCATTAAGCAGTGTTTTGAGCGGTTGCCTGAAATTTAAGTCCAGCTGCTGTTCTTAGTTAAATGCTCCTTGATTGTTGTAAGCCTTTAATTTCCAGAACTAAGAAAAGATTGATTTTTGATCATTTGGCTGATGCTTTTACCCCTTTTATGGAGGAAAGACTTTTCAGAAATCCATACCCAAACATTTTTGCTGAGTTCATTTTAATATAATTTGTCCCACAGCTAAAAACCGGAAATTGAATATGTTCTGATATAGACTTAATTTTTATCTGTGTTTTGTTGATTTTATCTATGTGTTATATGCATTTGTGTGCTTTGATTGGCAGCTCCATGGCATACAGCATAGATATACCACAGGTTCCTTATTACATAGATGATGGACTTTCAGTTTGTAGTCACCAAGAGATCCAGGAGCATTGTTAGACCTGGTCACTGCTGTATGGGTCTGCCTTCCCTATCTATCTGGATATTTCTCTGGAATGGCTCTGTGCAAGTCATATTGCTTAATTGCGAATGTGCGCATTAAGTGATGTACTCACAGCTGAGAATGGCGGTGCACGCCCTTAATCCTCGCTTTAGGGAGGCAGAGGCAGGCAGAGCTCTTACACAAAAGCTCTGTATTGAAGAAAATACACAAGCAGAAATGTGGTTTAGGTATACTTTAGACTGTCTCCTGAAGCATACGCTAGATTAATCACATTCTCTGAGAGGTAACTCTTCCCCTATACACAACAGTATGTGATGTCATCAATCTTAAAACATTGTGAGATTCCTGGAAAATGCATTTTGATTTTCATAATTTCCACTTGAATTATATTTTAAAGGACAGTGCTGTTGCTGCTGTAGTTAGTACCAATTTTAATTCTTTATTTCTGTTTTTAGGGGATGGCGTTTACATTACAAGAACGACAGATGCTCGGTCTTCAAGGACTTTTACCTCCTAAAATAGAGACACAAGATATTCAAGCCTTAAGATTCCATAGAAACTTGAAAAAAATGACTAGCCCTTTGGAAAAGTAAGAGTCGACTGGATGTTTGTTTTTTATGGTTTTTTAGAATCATAATGTGATTATTTATGGCCTGAGAAATGTACACTCTCACAATGACATTTGTTCTATCAGTTTACCCTTCTTCCGATGATTGTGCCACCTTCACTTGAGGCACACTGTTGATCACTGTTGTAGAATTTGGCAGAATTAAGCTCTGACAGTGATAATCACCTGCATTCACACTCCTGGGATCAGAACTCCGGAAACTTGAGGGTATCATCTGATCTGCTCACGTTTTATCCACAGCTTTCACCGATCGCCCACTCTGTGTGTGGCATTCTGCTGATAGATTTAGAAGTAGGCGATTCCAGAGATAAATGGCTACATCTCGAGAGGGCCTTCTTGCTGGCAGAGACCGTAGATTCTTGAGGTTGCAGGGGACATCAAATAGTGAGGGAACTATCTTTTATAAGTGGATTCCACATGCTGATAACTAACCTGCCCTCTTGATAGGCCAGGAGGTAACCCAGTAGCACATAGCCCCGCCTTCTAGGCGGTCAGCAGCAGAGGGCTAAGCTGTGACTGTAACTGTGCTTGCTCTGTACTGCAGTGTGTCTCATGGTAGGAAAATCACACACACGGAATCTGTTCTGAAAGCATGAGAGAGAGGCGTGTAGTCTAAAAGGGGAAGTGGTATCTGAGCTGACGTTTAAAGTGTGCTGTAGTTAACACATGGTCAGAATGAGAAAGGGCCAGATATGGCAGGCAGAGGGGCCATGCTGGGTTCAGGACTGACTGACCGTTGAGTAAACATGAACATTGCTGGCCTGTGAGAATAGTATCATTGATACAGTGGGATAAAGGATAGTTGCATTGAGAGTGAGTGAGTGTGTGGGGGAGAACATGTAATCTACTCTGAGGAAGTTCAAGAGATGGAAGAAAGACATTGAACCATAAAAGAAGTGGAACTGTGGTTTGAATAGTCTTCCTTGAGGAAAAGCTGAGTGTGCTCATAGTTGCACAGAAGAGACTCAGGAGAAACTGCTGCAGCAAGATTCCAGAGGACAGCAAAGGGTCAAGTGCAGAGGTGGAAAGGCCTCAGTAATCTAGAGGGAGATCAACACAGATATTGTTAAGGCTAAGTATGCTAGTGATGGCTCTGACTCAAACCTTCTGACTGGGCTTTCTTTGTGAAACAGAATGTGAATATAGAAGGGCTGAGGTCAAACGGAGAAAGCCTAGTTGGGAAGAGACACGCAGTTAGGAAGTAAAGCCCCTCAAAGTTAGATGGGTTAAAAAGCAGCCCTGACACTGTGGTACATGACACTTCTCAAGCGTTTCGGTGCTTGAGAAACTGAGGCAGAGGGAGCAGGATTGTAAGTTCAAGGTGAGCCTGGGCTCCATAGTGAGACCCAGCCTGAGCAAAACAGAAGTAGGAGAGCAGGCCCTGAATGATCTTGTTTGCAGGGCTGTGCTTCTGCACCCCAGGGTTCTTTTCTCCAGAAAAGGAGAACTGTTACATCAGTTATGGTGTTGGGGCATTGTTGGATTCTCACTGCAAAATGAAGTTCAACCTGTGTGTCTGGAGTTGAGAGAGTGATTAGGGGATGGTAAAGGTGTGTGTAGCCTTAACTTCACAAATGGTGAGAAGTTTTTCAGAGAACTGACCCTGAGGTTTACAGTAGGGGAGAAATTGTAACCTGGGGGACCTGACAAAATGGGAGACAGGGGCATTCTGACAGAGGTGGAGATTTTAAAACCTTAGGAAGGCAGGCCGTTGACTAGCTAGCCAGATAGTGATAGTCAGGTAAACAGGTAGGGCTGTGGTCAGTGTGGAATTCAGGGCATCTGTCATCCCTAGGTTTTAAGAGCTCTAGAGAAGAACAAGATGACTGTGAGGCAAACAGGTGTGACTAAAGTAGGGTGAGGGTGAGAGCTGCAGCCTGAGGAGGCCCAGGAATCACCAGCTTCCCTCCACATGCCTGATGGATGGCTCATCGGTTTCTTTTACTTAGCCCTCTGTAGTCTCTTCCAGAAAGTTGTCTTTTCCATTTTATAGCCTGATTGCTTTTGGTTATTTCCCTGTGGTGAGGAGAAATGTTTAATTTCTACCTATTAATGTCATTTTTGTTTCCCAGTAGCAATATAAAAGATACAGTTCCTTTGCATAAATGGTTTACTTTTGTATTCACCAGATAAAATATAGAAATACAGAAGTCTCAGCCTAAGATGGAGGTATGGCCTGGTAAACCATTTGTAAATTGAAAACATTATAAGGCGAATGTGTATTTAGTACACCCAACCTACCAAATATGGCTCAGCAACACAGTCCACTTCAGAACAAATGACTGGCCTTTGACTGGGTGGCTTCCTGGAAGGTGCTGCCCAGCGTAAGAGACAATATTTGCATATAATCTATGCATGTATCTTACAGATAATCACTCCTTTGTGGTGGATCAGTTCAGGAATTTTTTTTTTAAACAGTGCAAAAGCAATGTGAAGTTGAAAGCAGAAGAAATAGTAGGGTATTGTGAGAGCAGAACACAGGAAGATCGAGTGTGTGTGAGTGTGTGTGTCCTTGGTAAGCGTTAAGCATTTGAGGAGATGAAGTCAGTATAGAGGAACCGAGGCTGAAAATTACTCGAAAGTTTGTTTAACAGTTTTTCAGGTTTGAATCTTATTTAATTGGCAGTTAGAATCCACTGAAGGGCAATTAGAAATTATCACAGATAGTGTGTTTTGAAAGAATGGGTTGGAGCTAGAAAGGAAGAATGTATGAAGACTAGATAGTAGTTTAGACTAGATGTGGGGAGAAGAAATGGACGTGTTTGAAGGATACTTGTCAGTGCCCGAATTAGCCCTGGATCTCCTGGATGATGGTAACGAAGGGTAGATAGGAAGTGAGGATCAGCCTCCAGCCTGACCCTTGATTTCTTACTGTCGTTTCTGCTCCATGTACTAATAATGCTTAATACACAACTGGATTTTAAACTCTTCAACATGAGGTGTCAGAGTGGGGCTTGGGGAGGCATTCCACTTCCTTTGGCTTCCTCGTTTCCGTGTCGGTCTTCTGTCTGCTCCTTAGCATTTCCAGGCCTTGGGTCAAAGGGTTAGCTGTCATTTCTCTTGCTATCTTCTACCATGTAAGTACATCTGTGTCTTGCTAATTTTTAGTTCTGAGTGTTACAGAATTGTGACGTAGGGTTTTAGTGTGCTTGCTTTTGTGAGGAGTGTGTGTGAGGAAAAAATATATATACACACGTTTATGTAAATATATATACATATGTGATATATATGTGTGTATATATATGGGAAGGGCTCAGTTTTAGACATTTAGGTTAACTTTCAAAAGTCAATATTTCAGTGTGATACAAGCTAACTTAGACATTATTACGCTTACTTTCAGGTACATCTATATAATGGGCATACAAGAAAGAAATGAAAAACTGTTTTATAGAATACTGCAAGATGATATTGAAAGTCTGATGCCAATTGTGTATACACCAACAGTTGGCCTTGCCTGCTCTCAGTATGGACACATCTTTAGGAGACCTAAGTAAGACATGTTTTTTTTTAAATACAAATCTATAATTGATTATTGCGTAAGAAAAAAAAGTCATTCTGTAACATCTGATTATATTTCTGTGTTACAGTCTTATCCAGCCAGGTTTCTCGCCTCACAAAAGCCCAATTTATATTAAAGTATATTAAGAAAAACTCAACATGTTCATAGCTTTTGTTTTGTAGAAGTAACTCAATTAACCAGCTCGTGGTAATTATTGCCATTATTAGAGGAAACGTGTCGTATTAGAGGAAACGTGTCGTGACTGCCCCCCCCCCCCCGACAGTAATTACTGTTAAGCCTTCTGGTAGTTTGCCAAGTTGGGGGTTGGCTTCTCGTTTATCAGCTTTAATTTCTGATGCTCTCCTCCTCCCCTTTAAAGAAAAAATTAGCTTTCATGAATTTTAATTTTAGACTGTTCTAATGCTGTCAAACATGTTAGGAAGAGTTCCTCCATGAGCCACTGCCTCAAGTCCTTGAGTGAGCACACAACTGGCTGATTGCTAAGGGTGAAGGAGCCTGTTGAAAGCCAGTGAGAGGAAACTGAGGTGCTGGACCTAAGACTATATTTATTAGAGGTTTTCTGCCCCTTCTAATCAGTTGTTTCCTTAATCCTTGTTTTTTCCCACGGCAGGCTCATGCATTGATATCTGTGTAGGCATTCAGACAGAGATGAATGCAGCGCTCAGCCTTGCATCTGGTCTGAAGGCTCCTCTCAACTTCAGAGTGCATAAGAAGCACTTGTTGGGCTGTTTAAAAGGCCGAACCCTTTTAAAGAGAGAACTTTCTCCCCCGCTTCCCCCTCTGTACTCCCTGGCAGCCCCTGAAAAGCACTGTTTAACCTGACCTGTACGGTGCTGTTACCAAAGTATCTAAAACATCTCTAGGAGATAGCCTAGCCTGTGTGGTTTCCTGTTAGAGAGTGTTTCTCAACTCAGGCTAAAGGAGTAAAGGAAGCTGGAAACCGCCCGGACCTCCACCTCAGGTTGTCTGGGTCAGTTAGTCTAAGGCCCAGGTATGGCTGATAAAGCTCCTGCCCTGACTCTCGTGCAGCATGGATGACAAGTGACAGGAGCCGAAACAACACAGGGTGGGGCTTTTGGATCCATATCATGAATTCATTGTATCCTATGTAGAAATTTTTACTTTATTTTCCACTTAGATGGTTAGGACATGCACTGTGTACACATTTCTCTTTGGGGGAAAATGTTCATATCAGTTAACAGTGATCTTTGTTATAGCTTTTATGTAAGCAGCATAATTACCATTCAAAAGACTCAGAATGTTTGGAAATAAATCAGTGCTTGGAAATTAAGCACTGATTAAATAAATATCTTGATTAAATAAATTAAATATCTTGATGTTTTATTAAAATATCTTAACTGTCCCAATTATGGACAAAAGTGTAGGGGGAAGAACCCTAAAAAAACTGTCATGAAATGCAAAGGTGTTTTTGTTCTATTGCAGGGGATTGTTTATTTCAATCTCAGACAGAGGTCATGTTAGATCAATTGTGGATAACTGGCCAGAAAATCATGTTAAGGTACTAAGAGCACACCCCTCCTTTTCACAATGTCTTCTTTTTTCCTTGTAAGTTAACTCTAAATTGCCAAGAAGAAGCTTCCCTTGTTGCTCTGACTGACTTACACTATGTACGTGCAAGTATATGCTTTGTGTCTAAGGAGATGCTGATAACATCGTTCTGAGATGTCCTGGGACAGCGCTGGGCTCTGAGAACAACCTGACACTAGTGTACAAGGCGAGCTCAGTCATGGGCCCTCCAGCTTTAGTTTCCTGCTAGAGAAAATCAGATGCTCCACCCAGTGTGGTGGTGCAAACCGGCCATCCCTATAATACACTTAACCGCTTGCACAGTAGAGGCAGGAGGAGCAGAAGCTTGGGTGTGAGGCCATGGCATACGTGAGCTCCTGTCTCAAAACAGGAAAGGAAGTGATGTAGGGACTTTGGATCTGGGGGTAGTTATTTTTTTTCTCTCTGTCTCTTTCTCTTTCTGTGTGTGTGTGTTTATTTGTTTTTGTTTTTTTTTTTTTCCTTTTTCTTTTTCTTCGGTTTTTGAAATTTATTTTTATTGGTCTAAGGTAGATTTAGATCCTTGACAAATCTGTACTGTCAAGAGTTTTAAATGTAGCAAATACAAGCCATGGTCAATGTAACTGTGTTTCATGTAGCAAATCGAATAATAACCTGTTTAAAGCTCTTTGGATAGTATTGTTCCTGTTAAGGCCAGAATCTTACTGACTTTTGAGTGTGTCTTCGCCGGAGTAAACACTGATGAGCCGGGAGTTCAGCCTGGCACAATCCCAGGACTTTCAAAGTAGAAGCAGAAGAGTCAGGCCGTCCTTGGCCAAGCAGGGGATTCTAGGCCAGCTTGTGCTGAACTTGACACTGCCTTCTCCTCCCCATTCTCCAAAACCATTAGTTCAGATAGTTTAGGGAAATTGTGGTAAAATAACTAGGTTTGTGATACCGTTACAGACTTACGTGTGTGTCTGTGTATGTTGACATCTAGATTGTTTTGCTCCTCTACTGTTGCTAAGGTTTTTCTGATTGGCCCAGGTTGGTAGAGCAAGTTAGTTATTTCTAGGCTTTTTACTGTGGCAACCTGGGACTTTAACTCTCTGTCCCCATGTTTCGTGTATGGAAAGAATACATCAGTTGGTTCTCCTGTCCCCTCATCCTGTCTCCAAACCAGTCAGATGGAAAACATGTCTAGCTAAATCTCTTTTAGTACCTCATAATAGGAAGAAGTCCTAGTTCAGGTATGCTCCCTGGGAATTAGACAAATGGTTCTACTTCTGAAAATGAGAGTAGAAATATAGCCAAAAAAAAAAAAAAAATCCATCCTTTTAAAAAATGCATTAGTGTCCTGTTCTTGGCTGCTTTTAATTTCCTTTTTGTTTTGTTTTGTCTATAATGAAGGCTGTTGTGGTGACCGATGGAGAGAGAATTCTGGGTCTTGGAGATTTGGGTGTCTATGGAATGGGGATCCCGGTGGGAAAGCTTTGTCTGTACACAGCGTGTGCAGGGATACAGCCGGAGAAATGCCTGCCCGTGTGCATCGACGTGGGAACCGATAACCAAGTGAGTCACGCCCTTCCCTCTTTGCCCATCTCCCCCTGTGTCTTTTCAAAAAACGAACCAGTAAACATGTATGGCCATCTTTGAAGAGGATTTATGAAGAGGAAAAATCGTGTAATTTTACATGTTAATCTACTTAAACTTGGGTTTTAATGTTTATACAAATAACAGTGGATTAGGTCTATTAAGTTTCTTAAAATTTCTGTCTTGTGCGCTTAATGTTAGTAATGAAATGAAAGACTATTTTTTCATCCATTTTCTCATATAGGCACTATTAAAAGATCCGTTTTATATGGGCCTGTATCAGAAGCGAGATCGCTCCCAACTTTACGATGATCTAATTGATGAGTTTATGAAGGCGATTACTGACAGGTATCCTGTGAAGCTGAAAGATGCGAAACAACCTCCTATTTGGGGTGGGGCCACGACTCTGCTGTTTTCTCTTGTGTCCCCAGAGCTTGTGAGGGAAGGGTTAAATCGTGGGAACTTTTCCATGCCTGCTGACACTTACCGGCACAAGTGATAATGTGCTTCTGCTGTGCACGGCATCTGGGAGGAAGTCCGGCATCTGGGAGGAAGTCCGCATTCACCTCTCCTAAACTCTGACAATGTGATCCTCGATCCTCCCGTCAGCCTTCCAGGGCCAGGCCACTCCCACCAGAGCTCTCCTGCAGCTGTCTTACTTGGACCTGTTTTCTTGGATCTACTTATTTACTTCCTCACTTTCCTCTGTGCCCGTGTGTCAAGGTGTGCATGTGGCGGTCAGAGGACACCTGTGGCGCCCGTTCTCCCCAGCTCCCCTTGTGTGGGTTGAACTCAGTTTGCCAAGCTTGCTCCACTCAAGCTGTTCAAACACTGCACAACCCAGCTAGCCCTCATTTGTCGCTTGTACAGTAAGTGGTGGCCTTCACACCTGTGACTCACAAAGCCGCCTGTGTGGCCCTGCACTTCTTTGTGAGGTTCTGGCACCGCATCCTGTTCCTGTCTCAAATGGGATGCTTTCCAGACGGCCTGCCTTCCGTCTTCGTATCCGCTGATGAAGGCAGTAACGTTCACCGCATTGCCAGACCTTTCATCTTGGTGCTATTTGTGACTCTCCTTCAGCCAACCATGCTGTCAGAGCTTCCTCAGAATCCGCTGGTGCTACATTTGCATGCCTCCTAAGTGTCTTTTCTGCTACCACCGCCTTCTTTCACCTTTCCTGCCTTCCTCTAAACCCTCACCTTTTCCATCTAATTCTAGGATTAATCTTAATAAAAATGTATATTGCCTTACATATTTTTTTCTGCTTGAAATTTGTCAATGGTTTTTCTGTTGCCACAGCTTAAAACCTGGATTCTTCACTTTTATGGTCTAGCTGTGATCAGGGAGTGTGTGTGTGTGTGTGTGTGTGTGTGTGTGTGTGTGTGTGTGTGTATACACATATGTCCACACACATGCATGTGTGCTTATGAATGCTGGTGCATGCACCATAGCAGGTGTGTGGAGGTCAGAAGACAGCCTCTGGTACCATCCTCACCTTCTACCTTGAAACAAGGTCTCTTCATTGGCATTCTATTACCTACTTCTATGACATATTTTTAAGCTGCTAGCTCACAAGCTCCCGGAGACTCTCCTGCCTCTGCTTCCTATCTCTCTGTAAGAGTGTTGTGCTACATATGCTCACACCGAGTACAGCTTCTATGAGGATTCTTGGTATTTGCCCAGACATCACGTTTGCCCACTGAGCCCTCTTCCAAACTCTGGCTCAGCTTTTAACATCACCGGCACACGGAGATACTCAGAAGTGAATTCCTTTCACAAGGCAAAGAGGATGACAGATTCAGGGCTGAACTGCTCACCTCCCCACGCACTGCCCTCTGCCCTTCTTTGCTCTCCTTCCCTGGACAAGATAATGTCTTCTTAGTTATCCAGACTGTCTTGGCGCTGGGCTGGCTCCCTCACTTTCCAGTTTTGTCCTGGAATCTGCTTTGTTTCTTGTGTCACTGTCGAGTCTGAGGTGCTCTGTCTTTGTCATCTCCTCATACTCATGCATGCAGCCCACCACTGGCAGGTTACCTCTGCTGGCAGGAGACTTGTGTGAGTTCTTCCCTCCGCTACAGCCTTCAGAGATTCAGTGTGAGAAGCAGAAGTCCCTTGGTTCCTACGTGGCTTAGATTCTCCCTGTCCTTTCTTGTAACCCTGAAATATATGTTTATATGCCCTGGCTGTTGAAAATGAGGGCGACCAGAATATACCTTGTGTGTCAGTGGATATAATATATATGTATAGCCCTCTTTGCTTCTTACTACTTATTTCTCAGATGAAGACCCAGTGCAGCTCCCTTTCAGCTCCTTCCTGCTTTCGCTTTTCTCGGGTTTATTTGTTTGAGTCACTCTCCCATGTGTTTTCTAGACTGGCCTGTGATCCCCTGCCTCCGCCCCCGACCCCGCTGCCAGGACACATGTGCATGCTGCCATACCTGCATGGCCTTCCCTTCCTACTGCTGTTCACCAAAATGAACTCGGCTGGCAGTGTTCTCCTACTTACTGAACTTTTCCTGTGTGGTCAGTCATCCGTTACTTAACAAAACGCCTCCATTTCAGAGGCTTACCTCTGATGTGCAGAAAGAGCCCCCATTGGGAGTTGTTTAGTGCTTATATGCACTGGACACCCTCATGGGCCTTTGGAAACAGTTTACACAGGGGGAATGGCAATAGGCCCCCATTTGTACTGCCATGTTCATCGAGTAACAGGCGTCTACATTTTGGTTCTAGACTTTTCACAAGCTCTGGAACTCACAGCCTTGAGCTAATATAGTATCTTACTTTCAGATTCTAATGATACAAATAGTAAACAGGAAGTCTATTTAATAATGGTGCTTTCAATACAGTTATTGAGAGTTTGCTGTTTCTAGATACGGCCGCAACACACTCATTCAGTTTGAAGACTTTGGAAATCATAACGCATTCAGATTCTTAAGAAAATACCGAGAAAAATACTGTACCTTCAATGATGACATTCAAGGTAAAGCAAAAATGAAAGGATTTTCTGCTACTTTTTAAGTATTTATAATGTGTCTTTTGTTTCATTTTTAAAATAATCCTTGGGTTTTCCTACAGGGACAGCTGCCGTTGCTTTGTCAGGCCTTCTTGCAGCCCAAAAAGTTATTAATAAACCAGTCTCAGAACACAAAATCTTATTTCTTGGAGCAGGAGAGGTGAGTTTTTAAACCTTTTTACAACTTAGAACCAGTGCTCTGTTTTCTCTTTTAAAGTAAGACGGGCCGGGGTGGTGGCACACGCCTTTAGTCCTGCTCACTTGGGAGGCAGGCGCGGCCAGATCTCTGTGAGTCTGAGTCCAGCCTGCTGTGCATAGTGTGTTCCAGGACATCTAGGGCTAGAGAGAGAGACTGTCTCAAAAGAAAAAAGAAAGAAGAAGAAAGTAAGACAGCATATTGGCGCTTATTGTAGATCGTGATGAATTTAGAATTTGCTGAAATGGTGGGAATCACCTCTTACAAGTAATTTGTGTTCTGAGAGACTCTGACAAAGTATCTCCTTATATATGATCTCTACGGGAGAGAACAGCAAATAAGCACCGCCTCATGCTGTAGTCTCGAGTTTTAAATCTGCGTTTCCTGGGCAGGCTGCACTTGGAATTGCAAATCTTATAGTTATGTCGATGGTGGAGTGTGGCCTCTCAGAAGAGGAGGCGCAGAGGAAGGTCTGGATGTTTGACAAGCATGGCTTGCTGGTTAAGGTAAGGGCGCAGAGTGTCTGGCTGGGATGTACGAGCTGGGTGTCAGCAGAACCATTCCTTCTAGTCCTGCATCTCACTGACCAGCCACACTGTGCAGGAGCTGGCCTCCACCGTGTCCATAGAGATCATCTTGTCTTGCTCCGTGTCCTGGCTTCATTTTTGTTGCTGTGATAAAATCACTCCGACCAAAGCAATGAAGGGGAGAGGGACTCACTCCGCTTATAATTGTGATTATGATTTATTACTGTGGGGAAGTCAAGGCAGAAATAAAGTGTCACTCCACTGGCAAGAGCAGAGAATAAATGCCTGCCTGCCTGCCTGCCTGCTGTTGGCTAGCTTCCTTTACTCTTTTTTTTTTCATTTTTTTTTAATTTTTATTTTTAGTTACAATTTGTTAACTCTGTGTCCCAGCTGTATCCCGCTCCCTCATTCCCTCCCCCTCCCCAACTCCCTCCCTGATCTCCTCCCTGCCCCTTTCCAAGTGTTTCCTTTACTCTTACACTGTCAAAGCCTGGCCTGTGAAATGGAGTCATCCAGGTTCACGCTGGGTTTTCATCCAAGCTTAATTAAGGTGATCCAGACAACCCCTCTCCCCACACCCTCCACACATATGTGGCTGACTCCCACTAGGCATGCCCAGCCTGGCCTACCGAATTCCTCATTTAGACTCTTGTCAAGTGATTCTAGGTTATAGTGTGGAATTGGCAGTTACTAGTACACTGTCGTTTTTTATAAAGACTCTTATTTCATCCGTAAATCACAATCTGCCTGCTGGTACCAAACTTAACTCTTATGCTTTGTTTCAAGATCTTAGGAGATGAATAGTTACATCTGCCTACATTTCACTCTTCTAAGCTAAAGTGTTTTGTGGTTCTGGGGATTGATCCAAGGGCCTTATGCCACTGGACAAGCATAAACCACCCACCATTGGGCTACCCTTCTAACACAAAAGCCAACTTTTGAGAACCCTACTCATCTGGACTCTGAAAGCATGTGTTTGTATTCTGTGAAGTTAGAATTAGCAGATAGAAGTTGGGGATAAAAGTAAATAAAAAGACATTTGTGTTCTAAGGACAAAATTTATCTAACTGATAATTTATGTGTTCAGTTCATCTTTAATATGCACTTACTGATACTGTATTTTATCAAAACTCTCAGGGTCGGACTGCTAGCATAGATAATAACCAGGAACCATTTGCTCACTGGGCCCCAGAGAACATACCTGGAACTTTTGAAGATGCAGTAAACAAACTTAAGCCTTCAGTTATAATTGGTAAGTGAAGCTGTTGATCAATAATCCTGTTCCTTAACTGACTGCCATAACTACCATGTGCAGTTACTAAAGTAAATTGCTGTATTTTACCTCCCCTTCAGCATGCCCACGTGCTCTCTCAGTGTAGAGGGGGCTGGTGCCAAGTCCCACTGGACACACCCAAGCCTGCTGCATCTAAGTCCCCAGGGTTAAGAGGTGATTGTCCTGGCTGAGCCTCCCAGGGAGCTGGGACTACATGCCTGCCCCTCTATAGTGTCTTGCTGTAGAATTGTTGTGACTGTTGAACTCAGCCTGAAATGGCCAAGGTCATTTGACTGTACCAGGAAAATCCAGCACAGCAGAGTGAGAATTTCATTGGCAACAAAGTGGAAACTTTGCCTGTGTTTTGTGAGGCACATGAAGCTGACATCTGTGCTGACCCAGCCTGAGTTCCCAGCGTGGATACGAGCTGTTCAGTTCTCTGTAGATTTGAGTTCACAGTCTTGTGATATTACTAGTTTTCATGTAGGAACTTTGTTTAGTGTTGAACAATGAAGCCTTATAGTGGGTTCCTATGCTCAGAAAGTATGCCTCTGTTTTTTTCATTGCCAAGAACACATACACACACAGGAAGTCTTAAAAGGGTCTCTACTCCACTTCTCTCAAAACTCAATGTGGAAATCTGAGAAGGTGTCCACTCTAGAGATATCCATTGTCTGTCTCCTGAGGATCAAGGAAACAAAGTTGAGGATCCACTCTGAGCTAACGGCCTCACTTAGTTACTTACAGATCCCCACTGTGGCCCTTCACACTGATCTTCATAACCCTAGAATGTTTGTCCTAACAACTTGTTGAAGAAAAATACTCTAGTTTTCTGTTTTTTCAACTATAATCTATCTGCATTATTTTTCTTATTATTTTATTTTTATGCTAGAGACCAAACCTAGTCTTGCGCTTGCCTGGAAAATGATCTGCCACTTAGCTAAATCCCCAATCCTTACATTCAGTGTTTTGGGTTGTTTTTGTTAGACAGGGTCTCACTCTGTAGAGCAGGCTAACCTCAAACTCAGAGATTTGCCTGCTTCTACTCCTGAGGGCTACAGTTAAAGGCGTGCAGCCATCACACCCAGACCTACATACATTTTTATACCTTATGGTCTAATTTAGTGTCTGGGATACGGTAAGACTTAATAAAGATAAACTCAGCTGCATCAAAAAAATTGATTACTTTAGTCAGGACAGTCTTCTACCACTTCAGAGTTCCCAACTGAGGTCATTATGTTAAATACATATAAAGAACTCCCATTGCTTAGCAACGAGCACTGAGGTTTTGCTGCATTTAAAAATTTTTTAGCTGTGTAAAATGCACATAAAACATAGCATCCTACCCAATTTAAGTGTGCAGTTCACAGTACTGTGACTATTCCCATGGCTGTGCAGCCAGTCTTCAGAACTGTTTGCACCTAATGAAGCTGAAACTCTAAAACCATTAAATAACTCGTCATTGCCCCTGGCCCCGGCAGCTACTGATCTCTGTCTCTGGACCTCTGTTTCTGGTCCCTCAGGTGAATAGACTCTAGCACAGCACTGTTTCCTTGTCACTGGTTAGACTGATGGAGAAGCTCATATTTTACCATTTTTCCTAGAATTTACTGTATATGCTAGACAATAAATATTTAAGGGAAAATATCAGAGTTTCATTGCTTTTCTTTTCATATCTGAAGCTGTGTTGCCATAGTATTCTCTCAGCAATACAGAAATCTATCTTTGTACTGATACTTGTGGTTTTGTTATGGTAAATGTACTGTAGAAACACTGTTAGTAAGATCTGGTTTGTTATTCCTGTGTTGAAGTTGCTTTTTTCCTTGATCTATTGCAGGAGTGGCAGGTGCTGGCCGGCTTTTTACTCCTGGTGTAATCAAAGCCATGGCCTGCATCAATGAAAGGCCTATAATATTTGCATTAAGTAACCCTACAGCGCAGGCTGAGTGCACAGCAGAAGAAGCATATACACTTACAGAGGTATCGTCGATGAAAATCATGCAAGTTGGTGATGTGCTTCATTGGCTTGTTAGTTGCACATTCCTGCACACGTGTTTCATCAGTGTTTCATCAGTGTTTAAGTGGAGACTGCAGTGGGTCACCAAGTTGGTATCAGTTCTGAGAGCAGCTACATAGCACCAGCCACTGCTGCCCGCTCTCACACCTGCTCGGCCTCTGGTGCTTTTCTATGTGTGATGAAACCAAGCATGCTTCTTTCCTTGATTTTTTTCCCTTAGTTCTTTTTATGTAGAAACTATCCACTTAGATATGCTTACATTTAAGTTTTGTTCTTGTTTGTTTTTCTGTAGCCATCCCTCCTGCCTGTCTGCTTCTATCTGGGATCGTTTTCCTCCTCCCAGAAGAACTTCTTAAGTATGGGTTTGAAGAATTGTCTTGATAGTACATTTTGTCTTTATTCTGAAGGGCCGTTTTCATCCCACATGGAATTAACAGTTGGTAGTTGCTGTATCTCAGTACTCTACAGATAGTCTTTTGTTTTCTACATTGTGTTTTGATGTCGTTGATTTGGGTTTTGAGCATGGACCCGGGTATGGGTTTTCTTAGTTCTCCCTGGAGGTTAGCGTTCTCCTGGGTCAATGGCTTGATCTCTGACTGTTGAGATTTGTGTTTGCTTTGGAAACATAGGGCTGCTGCCTCTACTTCGGCCTTGTTCTCTCCTAGGAGACTTCATTTTCATGGCCAGTATTTTAACCATGTCAGTATTTCTATTTTGGAGAATGCTGCCCACTTTGCTCTGTGTTTCAGTCTGATTAGTCCCTTCTACTTTGCAGTCATGTTCTATTGTGTTAATCTGTCCTTGGTTCTTGCTTTCAGTTCTTGAAAATCAAAATAATCAGAAATTTTACTTTCTTGCCCTTTTTAAAAAATTTATTCTTTTTATTATTATTAATTATAATTTATTCAATTTGTATTCTGGCTGTGGCCCCCTCCCTCGTCTCCTCTCAATCCCATCCTCTCTCCCTCTTTTCCTCCTATGCTCTTCCCCTGATCCACTGGGGAGGTCCTCCTCCCCTTCTGTCTGACCCTAGCCTATCAGGTCTCGGTCAGGACTGGTTGTGTTGTCTTCCTTTATGGCTTGGCAAGGCTGCACACCCCCAGGGGAAAGTGATCAGAGAGACTGCCACTGAGTTCATGCTAGAGACAGTCTCTGTTCCCCTTACTAGGAAACCCACTTGGACACTAAAAAAGTTAGAAGAAAAAGTGGGGAAGAACCTGAAAGTCATTGGCACAGGAGACAACTTCCTGAATAAAAACACCAACAACACAGGCTCTAAGATCAACAATCAATAAATGGGACCTCATGAAACTGAAAAGCTTCTGTAAAGCAAAAGACACTGTCATCAGAACAAAAGGATAGCCTACAGACTGGGAAAGGATCTTCACCAAACCTATATCTGACAGAGGGCTGATATCCAGAATATATAAAGAACTCAAGAAGTTAAACACCAACAAATCAAGTAATCCAATTAAAAAATGGGGTACAGAGCTAAACAGAAAATTCTCAATAGAGGAATATCGAATGGCAGAGAAACAGTTAAGAAATGCTCAATATCCTTAGTCATCAGGGAAATGCAAATCAAATAACCTTACACCCATCAGAATGGCTAAGATCAAAAACTCAAGTGACAACACATGTTGGAGAGGATGAGGAGAAATGGGAGCCCTCCTCCTTTGATGGTGGGAATGTAAACTTGTACAACTACTTTGGAAATCAATCTGCTGCTTTCTCAGAAAATTAGGAATAGTACTACCCCAAGATCCAGCTATACCACTCGTAGGTACATATCCAAAATATGCTCAACTATATAACAAGGACATTTGCTCAGCCACGTTCGTTGCAGCTTTATTCGTAATAGCCAGAATCTGGAAACAACCCAGATGTCCCTCAACGGAGGAATGGATACAGAAATTGTGGTACATTTACACAATGGAATACTACTCAGCTATTAAAAACAAGGAAATCATGAAATTTGCAGGCAAATTGTGGGAACTAGAAAAGATCATCTTGTGTGAGGTAACCCAGAAGCAGACAGACACACATGGTATATATTCACTCATAAGTGGTTTTGAGACACACAGGATAAATATACTAAAATCTATACTCCTAGAGAAACTAAACAACAAAGAGGACCTTCGGAAAGATGCTCAATCCTCATTCAGAAGGGCAAACAGGATACACATTGGAAGCAGAAGACAGGGAACAGGACAGGAGCCTACCACAGAGGACCTCTGAAAGATTCTACTGATCGAGGTATCGAAGCAGAGGCTGCGATTCATAGCCAAACTTTGGGCAGAATGCATGGAATTTTATGAAAGAAGGGGAAGACAGAAAGACCTGGAGGGGACAGGAGCCTCAAAAGGAGACCAACAGAGGCCCCGCCCCCCAAGAAACAGCTGGGCCCTGGGGCCCCTGAAATGTGTACATTTAGGCAAGCAGCCGTCTCTCTGCCCCGACTTATGACTTTTAGTGCTTATTTACCTTCTAGTATAACTTTCAGTTTTCTACTGAAGATCTTTTCCCTCTATGATGTTGTTGTTTGTTCATATGGAAACAAGGCCCTGATATGTAGCGTTGAAATTTAGTGTCCTCCTACCTCAGTGTCAGGGATGCTGGGATTGTAGGACTGTGCCAGCCACCACATCTGACTATTGACATTATTTTGTCTTTGTATTTAATTTCTTGAGTGTGAGAGTTATAGTTAAAGTTTCTGATTGTAACAAAATCTCACTTTCTGTAAGTCCATTTATTTATTAATCTCCTCCTCCCTTACCTTAGTAATTAGTTTTAATTCTCTTGTGAGCTTAGTTGTTTGTTTGCTTGTTTGTATGTCTGAATGTTGGGTAGTGTGGATGGCAAGTTGTAATTTTTACCACCGAAGTTGCACAATGTAACATAGCACTTTAGATTGCTTGGCATTTACTATAAAGACTGTTCGGGCTTGGGAACATAGCTCAGTTCCTTGAGTGCTTCCCTAACATGCACAAAGCCACTGATTAGATCGCCAGCATTGCTAAAGCTGAGTGTTGTGATACATACCTGTAATCCCAACGCTCCAGAGCTGGAGGCAAACTGTTGAATGCTCTAGTGATAATGTGCGTGTCCGTGTGTATTGAGATAATTCAGTTTTCTCTGAGTCATTCTTTAACCTAATTTAATTGCGTGTGTAGCCATTAACACTAGCTGCTTTTACACATTCCAAGATAGCTTGCCCTGTTTAAGTACTAGTGTTTGGATTTTGTTTTTGGTTTTGGTACAGCAAAGGGGATAATAATGTAAACAATTTTTATAGTCCCCTTTAATGATAAGAGCATCCACTTTATCCTGGAAATGCAGATGGCTGCTCTAGTATCACAGATCTCTGTATGCATCTATATATTTATAATTGGATAAAGAAAGAATCTGTGGGAGATTACTCTTCCTAACAAGGCGGTATGGCAAGTTTGTTCTGTAACAGTAGTGTAGTTATATCATATGCCCATGTAATGAACTGGGGGGATAGCATGGTATCACAGAAAAACTGTTGGATTTAGATTTATAAAACTTGGATTCACATTTGACTGCTATAAATTTGACACACAGTGTTTACAAAGTACTTGAAAATATGTCAAATCGTTAGTTTCTGCTTTACTTGTTTGATTTTTTTTTTTTAAAGCAGTGAGCAGAAGGTGGTAACAATCAAACAAGGCTTTTAGGAAAGGCAAATGATAAAGCACCCAGCACAGAGATGGCTGAACAGGCATAGTCAATTAATTTTGCTGTTTCCCACTCTCTTATGATGTTCACAATGCTTAAAAGTCTTAATTATTTGAGATGATATTTATTACCAATTTTAATTTTACAAATGGAGTAGAAGTGTTACGAGTCTATAAACAGTTTTATGGGTATTTTTCAACTGTATTTGAGTATATATTATGCACAAAACAAACATCATTCTAATAAAAGATCTAGATTAAAGGATTGTTATATAGTAAATGATTTCTGTTTTCAGGTAATATAGTTGTGTAGCTTAACTGTAAGACTTAGTCTTCTGTGAATATTCCTGAATAAGTGGCCAGAAAAACAGGAATTATTTTGTCTTTTGAACAGGGCAGGTGTTTGTTTGCCAGTGGCAGCCCATTTGAGCCGGTGAAACTCCCAGACGGACAAGTCTTCACCCCAGGCCAAGGAAACAATGCCTATATTTTTCCAGGTAAGTGACAACATTGCAGATCCATCGTAAATTGCATAAAAATATTTCGGGGGCTAGCTAAGAGCACCAGCTACTTTTCCGGAGATTCTCAGCACCCACCTGCAGGCTCAGAGTTGTTTGTAACTCCAGTTCCAGGGATTCTGATAGCCCCAGCTGACCTTCACCAGCCCTGCATGAAAGTGCTGCAGGAGCATAAATGCGGGCAAAATACCCAGATACATAAACTAATAATAAAATTTTTTTTTCATGAGATTCTTTAGAACTTAAGGTTGATATAACAAATGGTATTTCCAAAAGTGTGATATTTGCAGGGAAACAAGGACTTCCGTAATTCTAACCTGCTCTGTTTTCTTTGAACACTTCTTTATACTGTTAGACTTTCTTAAAGAGATAATATAGTCCATGCTGCACAGATGCAGAGAGGAGCAGGAGGCTGTGGTTTTTCAGCTCTGTTGATACCTTTTCATCGTACTCTGAAATGTAACTGCTGTTAGGTGTTTGCTCTCCTTCTCGTGGATAAAATCAACAGGTGTATCCCTTTAGCATGGTCCTTCTAAATTGTCTGTGGATGTGACTCTCCCACTGTGAGCCATTGGCAGCACTGCACAGTTCCCTTCAGAATCTTGCCTGTCCTGCTGCCCTGTCTGTCTTACTTGTTCTTGGCCCTTATCTTTACTTATACAACAGAGGGCTTTGTTACAAGTTCATGTTTTTGTGTCTATGATGTGTGTGCACACACAGAGCCCAGAGGAGGACACCTGGTGTCCTTTACTGCTCTGTGTCTTCTTCCTTTGAGGTTTGATCTCTTCCTGAACCCGCAGTGCATGTTCAAGCCAGTCTGGCAGCCAGCAAACCCCAGCACGTGGAGCCAGAAGAACATGTCTGTATCCTGGGTGGGTGCTGGGAATTGATCCCAGGTCCTCTGCCAAAGCAGCCAGTGCTTTTGACCACTGTCCATCTCTCCAGCCCTAATATTTGTCTCTTAAGAAATTTGACAATTGATTATTTGTATATAGCATTTTAAGGCACTGGCTTTATGAATGAAAGCCATTAACCATGTGAATAGATAACTTAAGGCTGTGATATTGTCAGAATCACTATCCTACAACTCTAACTACCAACTGGATAAAGATTTAAACCTCAAGCCTGAGTATAATGGCCCAAGCCTGTAATTTCAGCACTTGATAGGCTGGGGCAGGAGGGATGTGACTTCAAAGCCATCATGGGGTACATATTAAAAAAGAGGTGCATGAGAAAGTGCTTACCCCTTTTGCAGAGTCCTCAGGTCCAGTTCCCAGCACCCACATGACAATGCACAACCATCTGTAACTCCAGTTCTAGGCATCCAGTGGCCCCTTCTCGTCTTCATAGTGTGCATATACACGTGCAGGCGAAATGCTCACACACATAAAGTCAAGTCAGTAAGTCTTAAAAAAAGATAGAGGAGCATAAATAAATAGACAGCCATCAAAGGTCAGAAGCCAATAATATATTGACTGATAAGATAGGAGATTCTGGATAAAGGTTAAAGGGAACAGAACTTGGTGAGGTGGCCAGAATTTATAGCCCCACCCCCACCTGATCAGGAAATAAAGAACCAGGGGACAAGTTGTGTTTGTCCTAGACGAAGGACAGTACTGACATCCGTCCAGGTCTGACTCTCTCCCTTACATACAGCTGCCCACCGTCGGTTGAAACTCTACCGGACCCTACCTGTAGAGAGTGGACTGTGGTTCATAGCTGTGGGTGGTCTAGAAAACTCCAGTCTTTGCTCTGGATGCCAGTGCCTGTAGAAGCAAATAGAAATCTTCCCTGAAAACACCAGTCCTGAAAATACCAGTCCTCAAGTTGTTTTTCTAGAGAGATGTACAAATGCCACTCTTGTTTGGAGGGGAAAAGGAGACCTGTGCAAACACTTGACAACACAAGTCCAGCAGACAGCAGGGGACAAAATGTGTTCAGCCTACATGGAAGACAAGTGCTACAACACAAACATGATTATTCTTTTGTAACAGTAAAAGCCAAGCATGAGAACGTTAGCCACAATCCCTAACTTCTAGAATTGAATAACAGTAATAATGTGATGGGTGAATAAAGATTAGACCAAAGCAAGTAACTGGAGGGCACTGCAGAAGAAACTATAATTGAAGCATAGTCAAAGGGAAAATATGGAAAAGCAAGTAAGAAATGGACTTTTAATTGCCATTATTAAAGTCCTGGAAGCTGGTGAGAGTGGGGCTGAAGCAGAGGCAGCACTGTAGGGTACATGGCTAAGAATGCCTTCTGGTGAAGCTCAGGAAAATGTCCGTGGGGTAGACCATAAGTCTGTGCCTCAGACCCTCTCTGTGAGACTTCAGAAAGTCCCGAGGAGGAGAAATGACAGCCGCTGATGCAACTGTGGGAGCAACATCGGATCTCTCAGCACTGCTGAGCGCCAAGGGGCAGGGGGTGGCCTGTTCGTGTTGCTTGCAATTCATTACACAGTGACAGTGTCCTACAAGAATTAGGGGGAAGTGGGGGCACTTCAGGAATACAGAGAACGCTGCATACTTGTATGAAATGAAAGGACAGGAAGTCCTGTTCTTTCGGCTAATGGAAAACAATCCCAGAAGCTCAGAGATATAGGAAAGAATGAAGAGCAAAGCATGTTGTAAGTGTTAAGATAAAACAAAGAAAATGTTTATAGACAGCAAAACAGTGATGCAGTATTTCAAAAAATGTATTAAGACAAAATGCACAGCAGTGCCTTTTTAGTTAAAAAAGACCTGGCTGTTATGAGGGATCTGTATAGTCTGGAAGGAAGATAAATTTTAAACTAATGGAATTTTTTTTGAGGAAGATACATGCTATAAACTTGAGCATAATATTAGAAAAACTTCCTAGTTCCAGTCAGGGAATATTAAGGGATAAAATGCAACAATTAAAAACGAGAACCAAAACACCTAAAAGCAAAAAGTTGGAAAAAAAAAGAAAAAAAAAGGAACCATAGACTAGGCAAGACAACTATAAGACAAAACACTTGCTTTAGCCTTAGACACTTAAGTGTCCACGTTAAAGTGAGGTGGACCACTGTCGGGTTGGGGGGAAGAGATGTTAAAATGAAACTTTGGGGGCTGGAGAGATGGGTCAGCAGGTAAGAGCACTGGCTGCTTTTCCAGAATTGTCATCTAACAAAAATTCTCATTAAAAAATTTTTTTCTTAAAAAAGGTTGCTATCATAAGAGACCAAAGCAGTGAAAATCACGGAAGAAAACAGGCCTGTGCAGAGTTTTTGAAGGAACTATAAATATCCTCATAGAGATATAGTATTTCAAAACAACATAGGATATCAAGTTAGAAAACAGCAAATTCTTGAAAATAAAGTTGATAGCAGAAATATATTAAAGAAGTTAAGGAAGCCACTTAAAAACAGAATTTGGGACAGGAGATAGCAAATAAAGAATAAAGTTACATGTCGCCTCAACAGTACAGGATTAGAAAATAGAAATTTCAGGACAAGACAAAAGAAAGAAAAGAGGGAAGGACATCTAAGACTTCACAAACACTTCTCAGAGAGGAAGGGTTCACCCCTGAGTGTCATACACAGCGGGTTTGAAAACATACCCTAAGACAGTATTATAGAATCAGAAACAAAGATCTCCGTGTTTTCAGAGATAAAAAGACAGTGCCCAAACAGGACTTGAGGCCAGACAGACCCTGGGCCAAGGCTAGAAGCTAGGCGATGCAGAGCTCTGCAGGAAACATATTCTAAACTAAAATTCTAAGTCCAAATGCGTGGAAAGAGGTACACACATACATTTTCAGAAATGCAGAATTTCAAGAACAAAATATTTCTCTCATCAGTTGTTTCTCAGAACATCTGCCTGAAAATGTGTTCTGCTAGAAAGAAAAGGTATCAGAAGACTAGGAAAGGAGTATTAGTAAATTAGAACATGTCCCTAAATGAAGGGGTGAAGAGTGAGCTGAGCAATGAGAGCTGCTGCAGAAGTTTATGCCAGAAAATACACAGGATGCCAAAATACAAGAAGATCAGGCAATTAGGAGGAGTTCCAGGATAAAATAATGTTCATTACAAAAAAACAGAGTAAAGGGGGAAACAGAACATAAACTTGGGGAAAGGAAAATTTATACAAGGCGGAAAATAGTCCCAGTATAGCATTAACGTAGCCTGGACTGAATAGCACTTAAAAGTCATAATGTAAACAGTGAATGTAGACTGGACCCAAATTATATTTCTGTCCATATTGGGAAGAGAGAGAAGGCTGGAAATAGCAAGAGGGCAGGATGCTTATATTTAGCCAGAAGGAATCAGAGGTCTCTAAAGGTAAAAATCTAAAAACGTTAAAGCCAGTAGTCGAAGACTCAGAAACAGTGAAATAATCACAGAAGGCACTGACATAGCTGCCCCTGTTGAAATCAGGGCTGAGGTGGATTGGAGCTGGTTGGTTGTTTTTTTCCTTAAAGGTTAGTGAGTGTGAATCTTTGCTTGGATGATTGGTGTTTCTTTTGGGTTTCTCTCTTTGAGTGTGTGTGTCTGTCTGTCTCTTTTGCTCTCTCATTTTTTTGGCACAGGGAATAGAAGGTCCTGACAGAAATCCATAAGTATTTGCTATGTTGATATTGATAAATGTGAAAAATTGAGAAAGCCACTTCTTTCTAAAATGATTTTGTTAGGGACTGAGAAGCAGACATTGACAGAGACCATTTGCTTTCATTTTAATTCAGTACTGCTTTCTGTTGGGCTGCTTGAGTTGGGAGCTCATTAATGTTTGTTTTTCTCGGTTTAGAATTTAGCCCTTCATAATTTGAAAAGTGACCTTACTAAATAAACTGTGTAACATGTGTTCCAGGTGTGGCTTTAGCTGTTATTCTCTGTCAAACTCGACACATCAGTGACAGTGTTTTCTTAGAAGCTGCAAAGGTAATGTTTTAAATATTGCTGATTTTATATAAAGTATGGATTATAGAGGTGAACAGATCTTAAAACCAGAATGGGTTAAATCTGCATTATGGATGAAAAGGAAAGTAGCAATCCGTTACTTTTTATTTGTCTATTTTGTATTATATTAATTTTTAAAAATAATAACTTCTCAAATGTCAGTTGTAAGCTGTGAAAAGTTCGTATCTATAATATGCTATACCCATATTTTTATATACGTGTATATAAAAATAACATAACTCTCACACTGTGTTTTATATGATCTGTCATGAAGGTAACTCTATGACAGCATAGATTGTGACAGCATGGATAAAATAGAACTCCTTCCATATTCTTAATGGATTGTGACAACATAGATAAAATATAACTGCTTCCATATTCTTAATTCTTTCCAGAGGAATTCCGATGACCTCACATTAATACTAGTGCTAATGTCTGTTTTCTTCTTAGCTGTTGTTATTATGCCCAGCTTTGTACGTGTGAAGCGGAACATCCATTAAGTCTTTAGATCTGGTTATTTATTGCTTAATAGGGAACAGTGTTTTTGTTTTGTTGTGCTTTGGTGGGGCTTTTGGGTTTTGTTTTTTGAGACAGGCTCTCCCTGCAATGCTGGCTAGCCTAGAACTCACAATGTAAACAAGGCTGGCCTCAAACTCACAGGTTCACCTGCTTCTGCCTCTGGGTGCTGAGATTCAAGGTGTGTCCCACCATGTCTAGCCACGATGGACAGTTTTAATTTCTACATCAGTTTAGTATAGTCCTGTAAGAAATAAAGATTCTATTGTCTATAATTTTCTGTTTCTTCAATGCTTTTCCATTTTACTAGATTCTTTGTTTAAACAGAAATACGATGCTGTTTTTCCTTTCAGGCTCTGACAAGTCAATTGACAGATGAGGAATTAGCCCAAGGGAGGCTCTACCCATCACTTGCTAATATTCAGGAAGTTTCTGTTAACATAGCTATTAAAGTAAGTAATTTATGCCACTTTACATGAACTCTTACGATATTTTCTTGTCCAAGTAATACCAATGCTTAGAAATAAGTTCCTAATATTTGGAAGGAAATTTTATGTGATGCATGTTCTGATTTTGATTAAGGACGGTGTTATGTAGCCCAGGCTAGTATGTCCTTCTGACACAGTGAAGGAGACCTGCTTTGGGTTATTGTTGAGCCCAGGCTTGTTGCACCCCTAGCCTGGGGAAGGGAAGGAGGTTGTCTTTCTTTTTTAAGAGAAAAGGCTCAGAAAAATACTGAGAGCTTTGTGCCCACAGGAGCCTGCAAACCCCTGATCACCTCCTTATAAGCAGCGGCAGGAGAGTTCTGCATCAGGGCTGTGTGTGCTCTGCGGTTTGCTGCCGGTCACCTTGCATGCTTGAATGACCAACTGGGGCTCTTACTCTTGGCTGTTTTGTCAACATGTATGTGGGGCAGAAATTGCCAGTGTGGACCGCTCTGTACTAGCCTGAGCCTTGTGGCTAGTACAGATTAAAGCACAGCTTACATTCACTTTGGCAGCACCTGAAAGTTTTAGCTGCCTGCTTGGTACCTGCACACTGTGAGAAACTGCCCATCTTCCTCTGAGGAGTCTTGTCCTCTTTGTATAGGAGTTTCTTTTTCCTTCCTTCTTTTCTCCTTCCTTCCTTTCTTCTTTCTTTTCGAGATTATTTGTATTTTATGTGCATGAATGCGTTGTCTCCATGTGGTGTGCCACACGAGTGTAGTGCCAGGAAGGCCAGAAGAGGACATCAGATCTCCTGGAACTGGAATTATAGTCCGCTATAAGTCACTTGTGGGCGCTGGGAACTGAGTCCAGGTTCTTAGCAAGAGCAGGTGCTCCTGACCACCAGGCCATCTCTCCAGCCAGAATTTCACAGTTTTTTAATTTTATTTTTTTTTGTCTTATATTGTTATCTCAATGGATGAGCCTAAGGAAATTTAAAAACTTAGTTATGACAGAATTAATATGTTTTGTTAAATTTCTGCCTTTGTATTTAAGAAAAAAAGCACTAAAAATATACGATAGGAGTTTAGAGTTTAAGAGAAACAGGGTTTATGACAGTGGAACCAGAAAATGCATCAGAATTGCCTGGAACACTTGTTGACAGAGTCCATGGCCATAAGACCAGGCTTTGTAGATTTGGAGTGGAGCCTGGAATTGGCATCTCCAGGTTCCCAGATAGTGCTGCGGCCTCTGGTCTGAGGACCTTGATTATGACTGACATGAACACCTGGGTTCCATCTGGAGTGCCTGCAGCTACTCTGTTCTGGCTATCTCATCCTTATCACATTAGCTGTAGTAAGGAGGAGCTGTCCAGAATCCAGCAGGAAGTGTCAAGCAGCAGGACCTGCATACACAGAGACTCACTCTGAAGGCAGAAGAAAGCCACTGAAGGCTTGAGGCAGCCTTACATGCCTCAGAGTAGTATTGCTGATTGCAGCTGTGCTTCTGGGTGTGTCTGTTCCTTTGTCAGTTCTGTTTGACACATGCTATTTGTTTGTTTGTTTGTTTGTTTGTTGAGACAGGATTTTTCTGTGTGCCTTGACTGTCCTGGAACTTGCTCTATAGACCAGCTGGCCTCAAAATTATCTGCCTCTGTCTCCAACGTGCTGGACTAAATGTGTGTGCCGTCACTGCCTGGCTGGCACATACACATTTAAGATTACATTCTAGTCTGTAGGGCAGTTCTGCTTAGAGGTAGTCTCCTAAACAGCACGGCCCCTTTCAGCAGGGCTGTGGGAACGGACATCCCCTGCATGAAGGTTAACGTCCTAGAACTTAGATTTACTTTTGAAATTTAAAGAAATGCTAAGCGTTCTTTTCTTTGTCAGGAAAGGTGACCAGCACGTATCAGTTATCTTGAGAGGACGGATACTTTCTGTCCTGTATCCTTCAGACTTTGCATAGTTTTAAAATAACTTGAAATGAGTCTAAGGAATATTATACTTTGGAAAAAGAAAAAAGCGCCATTCTTCTATGTGTCTGTGTGTTGTAATGCTGTTTTATTTCTCTGATAGGTTCCCATTCAGAGCCTAAGCAATAATGCTATCTGTCTTCCAGGTTACAGAATACCTGTATGCTAATAAAATGGCTTTCCGATACCCAGAACCAGAGGACAAGGCCAAATACGTGAAAGAAAGAATATGGAGGAGTGATTATGTCTCCCTGCTGCCGGATGTGTATGATTGGCCAGAGTCTTCACTGAAGCCTCCTCAGATAACAGAATAGAAGTTTTCCCGTTAAGACAGTCCAGGCTTCAGGGAACCACTATTTTTAGAAAAAAACATAATAATCTCAGAGTTCCAGTGTTGTCTGTGTTTTATTCCTCTGCACCCCTTTGCTTGGCCTTTTTTCCTGTAAATCTCACTTTTGTTGGTGACAGATATGTTGAGTATCTGTGGATGCCCACCAGTGCCCACAGTCCAGTCCTGGGAATGTTCTGATGGGTCGTCACTCACGCTCTTGTTTGAGCTCACCGTGGTATTTTTGCTATTTTATGAATGTATCTTTCATGTCTTCCACTCAGTTCCTCTAGGGGTGTGGATGTGAGTACAAAATGTTGAGAAGAAGCCAGATTTTAACCTAACTCCAAAGAAAAATTGTCAGTACTTAAAGCTGTCCTTTTATACATGCTTCATTTTCCTTTACATGCTCTGAAATCCCTTTGTAGTAAACAGATTTGGGGAAATATGAAAAAAAAAAATCCCAATTTCCTGGAACTAAATCATGGCTAACTATAACATTATAGAAGAGTGGGAGGAGCTACTGCTTTCTTTAGACAAACATAACAGTCATTTGCAACAGTGTACAAACACCACTTTTATTTAATAAAGGTAATATCTTATTTTTATTTGCTTCAGTTACATGATCTTACTGACCATACAGAAACCTAGGTTTGCTGATTATGAAAAGTTTCATTGTCTTCACTTCTAGCTGAGGGAGCCCCATCTACCTAACGTATGACTAATGTCGTCATATAATTTGGAAATATTATCAGAAGAAGTTAAGTACAATCTGTACCTTTTTTTCTGTCCGTCATATTTTTTATTTTGCAGTAGTTAGGGATTCTCCTAGGGAGACATTCCTTTGAATATTACTAGTGACATCTTTCTCTGCTGAGAAATAGATTCTAGTGACGTCTTTCTCTGCTGAGTAATAGATTCTGAGCTCAGTGGAGACAAATAAAGTAGAATTAGACCAGGAAATGCCTTCTCTTCTAAAGACAGCATCTCACTGTGTAGCCCTAGCTGTCCTAGAACTCACTCTAGAGACCAGGCTGGTCTAGAACTCCGGAAGATCTACCTGCCTCTGCCTCTAGAGTGCTGGGGTGAAAGACATACCCCACTATACCTGGCAGGAAATGCGTTTCTCCGGGAAGATTGTGAGAGCTATGACTCATGTGTTTATGAGTCACATGTTGGTAGCTAAAGGAAGTGTCTAAAGCATCTGGAGAAACAGCAACGTGGGTGTGGTATCTGTCTAGAGGCTTTGATGGACAAGCTTGTTTTTATTGAGACTGTAGCAAACTGGCCTCAAACTCACTCTGTGTTTCTGGCTTGCTTCCAAGTGCTGGGATAATAGTTATGAGCCACCATGCCCTGCTCAGGGACAGAACTTAAAAATCCTCACCCTGGAATGGTAGCAATACAAAGCAGTTCGTAGGTACTCACCACAGTACATATTTTAATACTATCTGTAGGCAAAGGAACTTTTATCTTCTTGCTTAAAGAGATTGATTTGAAATTCTGAAGATGTATTAAGATTGCTTAGGATGCACCAGATCTTGGGTTCAGTCCACAGGATCAAGAAGCAGGCTTGAAATGGCATTGCCATTTTAAGTATGGATAGACATGGTTAACCCATCATATAATCAAAAATCTTGTTTAGCAAAATAATGAAGTAAATCATAGTTTGATTCATTCAATTAAAGATGAAGGGTTATACAGGCATGGGTCTAGCAGGAGGGTCTCGAGTACAAAGCCAGGTTGAACTATATACTATCCTTCCTATAAAAGAACTCACAAAATGAAAGCAAGATGGTTCAATGGTTAAGGCCCTTGCCCCAAGCCTTGACATTTAACCCAGGACACATAAGGTGGAAAGAACAAACTTCCGAAAGTTATCCTCTGACACCAACCCTGCCCTCCCAGCACTGTAAATCATTGTAACAAAAATTATGAAAAAGGGTTTTTCATGTTTTTGTTTATATTCTGTACATGAAATTTTAATTTTGAACATTACAAGTATAAAAATTGCCGGGTTTTTGCTCAGTTTATTAAAGATGAGGACATATGCTGAATTAAAGTAATTTTACTAAGATGTTGCTTATTAAATGGTACAGTTCATGGCAGTCATTTTTAAGGAGAAGCTGGCAAAATGAAATATAGCCTACCAAGACGTATCAATTACTGGATGTAAATTTAAATGTTTATCATCTAAGAAGGTGGGCAAGACTCGGAGGCCGTGAAAGCATGAGATTGAGGAGAGCAGGGCTATTTGGTCCTTCCGTGGGGAATTTTGCCAAGGGAGAAGGTAATTCTTTGTAGAGTGGTAATGGAGTTTTACTCTGTTGAGAAAAGAAACAGTTCTAATCAGTAGAGGAAGACTCCCTGTTTTCTTTCTTTCCAATTGTGAAATCAAGTGGGTGACCCGGTGAGCTGTGAGCCTAAAGCTGGTATGTATGTTAAGTTCCAGGAGTTTGATTAAACCTGATTCCAGGGGTGGCTTCCTCACCAGGAGGTCGCTTCAGAACCACTGTGAACCTTTTAAATGGAGATACCGGCTCCCCCACATTCAGACCCATAAGTGACCTCCAGTGGGGAGAGCCCTGGTGGAGAGCTCTCCCAGGGTTCTGAGGAGCACCTTGTTCTCACTGCCCTCATGTGGGACATCGGATAGTTAGCTCCATGCTGCTGCTGATGCGCTTTCAGGGTGGGATTCATGATCTTGCATTTATTTTCTATAAGCACATTTTATTAAATTATTTTTCATGTATTTTTGGCCCTATTTATCCTCCCCCAAATCCTCCTAGATCTTCCTCAACATCGTGTTCTTTCTCTTTGTCTCTTTCTCAACAACACAAAAACAATGGAGTGTCACTAGATGTATCTACCCATTCCAGGGCAGTCCCATGTCCAGGAGGAGTTTACTTAACGAAACAGACTCCATGTTTTCTGTCTGGTGTGTGCTGTGCATTTTGTTTTGTTAGGGATTTTTTTTTTTTTTTTTTTTTTTTTTTTTTTTTTTGTCTGTTTGGTTTGTTGTTGAGATCTCACATTTCTAATGATCTCCCTGGTGGTAGTGTTGGGATAGAAAACTGGCTGATTGGTTTTGCATCTGAGTATCGTATGTTATATGCACGTTAAAATTTAGAGCTCAGACACTGTATGCTTCAAATTATATGAGGAGGGTCAACTGAAATTATCTTGTATGGAATGGCATTTATCTAACTTTCTTTAATTGACAACAGGATTTTTTAAGTTAATAAGGAAACTTTAGATATAATTTTTCTGAAAACATAATCTGGAATACTTTATTCAGCTCATGAAATCTAATGACCAGTTTTTATTTGTAAAAGAGTAGCGGTCCAGTAGCTGTTTGTGGAGCCAATTTTCTTTATTCTCTGAGGAAGGGCTTACTGATCCATTGACTTTTCTCAGCTTCTGAGGAAGAGATTTTACAAAATTACTAGTGAACTCAGACTGATGTATTAGGAGTGCAGAGCATTAGTCATTGCTTCCACAGGGAAGGGTGACAGAGTGCTGAGAGCCTGGCCGTTCCCTTTTCAGAAAGCAAAAATTCCCTGGAGCTCTGTTTTCCAGGCTTTACTGTACTATCAGTGTTCTTGAGTCACCTGAACAAAACCAACCACGAAGAGCACCCGCCATACTTGAGAACGATCCAGATCTCAGAGCTCCTCAGTGGAATTCCAGTTCCAGAGAAACTGAATGGACTGGCAGCATCACCCTGTCTCCAAGATGTACCCCATGCCAGACGCATTGCTGACTGTACATGGGAACAGGTCTGTTAGCAACCAGTGTGATTTGCACTTTGTACATAATGTTAAAATGAAACCCTCTAGCCAGGCATGGCACTGTGGGCCTCTGGTCCAAGCACTTGGGAAGTAGAAGCAAGAGGATCAGGAGTTAAAGGCTAGCTTCAACTACATCCAGAGATCAAGGTTATATGAGACCCTGCCTCAAAAAATAAGGCGGTCAAAGGATGAGATGAAGTACACACTAAATATTTAAGTATTCAAGATGATTCAGCTATAGAAAAAACAACTCACCTCAAGTCAGATGTCTTACTATGTGCTCAGAGAAAGAGTGCTGCGTTTTTATTTTTTATTCTTCCAGATTTCAAGATATTCAGAGAGTCCAAAGAGGACATGCCTTGTGGAACTCTTAAGTAGTGCTTAGGTTTTGAAACAGTTACTATAAGAAAATCGTGTTCCTCAAAGAGAAAAGGAAATGGCGTTCACAGCTGGTTTGTGTTACTTGCATGTTTAATTTTACCTGTGTGTTTCTTGGAAGGTCTAGGTCAAGTAAGTGTATCTTTGGCTACAGAATATTTACCCAATAACTGAACTCTTTAATCCTTTTCTTCCAAGTAAAAATGTATCGCATGCCCTTTAAGTCTTAGATACAAAGACATCTGTTGGTCTCTATTACTCAGTATTCTTGTTTGCTTTCACTTTTTTTTTTTTTTTTTTTTTTTTGGCTTTTGGTTTTTATGTTTCTGAGAAGGACCATTGTAACCTAGTCCAGCCTTGCACTTGTGACTTAGCTTCCCTGGCGTGATTGTCTGCAGACATTCTGCAAATTTTATTTTCCCTTTTCTGAGTATTTCTAGAAAACCATTGATCCTCATGTGGCATTGACTCATCGCCAGTGCATGTGATGGATACAGTTGACCAATCATGACAGATCAACTTGTGTGGCTGTGCATGCTCTGGGCCAGGTGTTGAAAGCATCTCACATTTACACTGGGGCACGGTGTCTCTGACCTTGTGCAAACAAGGGGGCTGAAGAGTTATAGGGGGCTGAAGAGCTTGGGGTGAGCATCAGAGTTGGAGCTCAGCTTAGATCCCTGGCAGCCTTGCAGCCAATTTCAGGCAAGTGAAAAATCTTCACCTATTTGTACAAGATCAGTTTTTAATCCTCTTGAATGAGTTTTTACCTGTTCATGTGATTTTTTGTTTCCTTTGTTCCTACTTAACAATTCAAATATGTTACAAACCTCTTATCTGTTAACTGTTAGATGTATTTATTAAGGTGGGTTTGTTTGATTTTAATTTGATAAATTACACCAAAGATTCTCAATAGCTAGTTCACTAACAACTCTTGATTTGGTGATATTCATAGAACCACCAACTGCTATCAGTGTTCTGCAAATCAGTGTCAGTGGCACTTATTTGTCACTCACTTTTTGAATCTAGTCCTGTCAGCACACACCTAGAAGGTATACTGGCATCTCTTTTATTATGTGTGCACACAACTTCATGAAGGAAGAATGTGTGTGGAATAAGGAATTTCCAGAAAGCTATCTTAGCAAAACACTTGACAAAATTTCTACCTATTTTTTTTTTGTACTTTGCCTCATAAGCTTTAAAATTACCAGAAAGTAACACTGTGTTTTCACAGTTGATGTTGTTTTTCAGTAATTTTGCCAGCATCAATCGCCGACCTGAAGAAAGTGCACATTGCACGTCATTGCTTGGCCTTTCTCACCTTGTACTAAGGTAAAATGATGGGATGACAAGTCTTGTCGTGGTGATTTCCTAATGGGAAGACTAAAGGGAATGAACGCTCTGGGTAGAGTATATCATGCTGTGTTGACTTCTTACAGGCAGCCCTGAGACCGGTTATTAAAACTTGATAATTATGTGACCTATTTTCCCCTTTTTGTGATACATTACTTGTAATGAGATGTGTTCTTATATTTTCTTAGTAAAATTTTTCTTATGCATAAAAAAACGGTTGGTGACCTTGTTTTTAAAGGATACTTTTAAAACCTGGTATTATTGTGTGTCCCTTCTTTCCTTCACTCCCTTCCAAAATGCTTAACCCCTTGGGAATTTGCTAGACCCATAGAAAACTACTTGTGCTTCTTATATTTGTCCTTTATTTTCTTGTGTTCAGTTTCCTATTCTTTGTATCTCCTTTTTGGCTTTATTGCAATGGTAAAGGAGAACTGAACCCATGCCATCACTTTTAGAAAACTATGTTGACTTAATGATGAGGGAGGCATTAGCTGTAATAGGTAACGCCCACCGAGTGCTTACCCAATCCAGGCCCTGTTCTAGGTGTCCGGCAACTTTACTTAAACTTCACAACACTTAGGAGACATGGGTACTAAAAATTGCCCTATAAACAGATGCAAAATGTGAGGCACCAGGGGTGTCCGGATCAAGTATATAAGATGGCATGACGAGATTTAAACTTCACCCATTACAATCTGACAGAATCTCTGACCAGTGCAGCAGAGCATGCAAGGACTTGTTATTGTCAGTCAGACAAAATCACTGGCCCAAGAAACCTTTCCTGTTGCTTGGCACCTCTTCATCCAGTGAATTCCTGGTGCCCATTCTCTCAGATCTCAGATGTTCTCCTGCACCTCCATGTTCTGCAAATGCTGGCTCCCACCCCACAGAAAGAGAATGCTCAGAAGAGGGAAGGCACTCTGGAGATCTTAGCCAACGCTCTGCCCACTGCTTACAACTTATCTAGGCTTTCATATTCTGTGGCATATAAATCATTCCATAGAAATCAACTTCAGACAAGGCCATGCTGATCAGGATGGAACCAGATAAAAACAGGCACACTCTGTAACTGTGTCTGTACCTGGATAAAATACAGGTATTGATTGCTGAGACCACACAGAAAAATCAACACCCCCCCCCCCCCATTCACTCTGCCCCCAACCAGAATGGTCATGGATTGATTTTTTTTCAGATAGTTTATTGAGATTAGTCGTCCTAGAAGTGTCTGTGCTTTCTGACACACGCAATTCTAAGTTAACTTTGACCTCAGTGGTCCTGCAAAATCACTTAACTCTTGCAAGAGGTATAAGTAAACTTTTTAAAATTTTTATTTATAGAGTCTGGGAAGCAAACTCTCATGTGTGATAGGCAAGCATTCTGAGCTCAGCTCAAAAAGTACTAACTTATTAAGACATCCCATATTTCCTTGCAGTATGCATGTTCCTTCACAGAGATAAGCAATGACCCAACTTGGTGAGCTACAGATGCATTCCTGGAGGCCTTTGGCCAGAAGACAGTGACAACCTGCATCTGCACCCAAACCTGAAAAAACCACTAG